ACTGTCACCCCGGCACATTCGCTTCCAAAGCACCTTCTTCCTTCTTTTGAGGCAGGGTCTTGCTGAGTTGCCCTGCTGGGCTGGAGCTTTTGACCCTTCTGTCACAGCCTTCAAGGGTGTTGGGATGACAGCCCTGCACCACCACAACTGGCCTCTTCCAAGGGTTTAAAAAATCTTGTATTGGCATGTGTTTGCAGTGTGTAACATTTACACTCATTGTGAGAAGTCGGTGTGGACAGTTCCTGTTTAGCACCTGTTCAGACTTAGGACTGAGGCACATTATTCTGACGTATGACCAGTCTTCTTTTTTTTTTTGTACAGTTCTGTATAGTACTATAGTTATATGTGCTGTTGTATATTACAGGACTACATACAAGTTACACAAATTTCTTTGTTCTGAATATTGTTGCATACGTACTATATACAAGTCCTTAGTTAGCAGTCAGCTCACTTAACGACCTAGTCACAGAAACAGCTTGGTCATTGAATGAGGAATGTCTATATGTTATGTGTTTCCATGTTTCATCCATGGCTCCGACTGCTTCAGTCCTGCATCTCTCGACACCCCCCCCTTTTTTTTTCTGGTACCAGGAATCGAACTCACAATCTTGAGCTTGCCGGGCAGGTGCTGTGCTGCTGAGCTAAATCCCCAGCCCCTGACCCCCTTTTCTAATCAGACCGGGAAATCAGCAGGACCTGAGCCCCCACCATGCTCGGCCCTAAGTCTGGTGAAGGGCTCAGCTGTTGGTGGCTTGGATCATTTTAGGGTGAGCAGAGGAGGGAGTAGTATGAGCGTGGGGTGTGGGTACAGGAGGCACTGCAGGACCTGTGTCCTCTCCTGGGTCTAGCGTGCTGCACCCCACTCCTGCAGGGCCAGCTACAGCCTGGAGCATTGTGCAGAGTGGAGAGGTAAGGTATGCAAGGGTCCTGGAGTTCCCTCAGGCCACCCCCCATCTCCTTTCTGCCTGGCCGCCTGGCCCCTTTGCATCCTGTGGAGAGAGTGACCACTGGTTTTCTGCTTCGGAGGTGTTGGGCCTTCTCCCTGCCTACGTGATGTGATGACACTGGGACGGCTGTGTGCCTGAGTTGCACGGGAAGAATGGCCCAGATGGATTTAAGGTTGTCTTGTGATTCTGGGGTCCTCTGGCCAGCTAAAGAGTATTAAATGAGAGGGGCTGGACTTTTTTAGCTGGGGTGGCTTGTGTAGGCTTGCCCCTTTAAGCATTTGATAATGGCATATACCACTTGTCATGCCTCTGCTTCTGTAGGTTCGTGCCTGGGGGCCTGCCAGGGTAAACTAGTAAAAAACATGTTAACCGGAAAAGAGCTACGCATCTGCCTGAGGCAGCAGGTTACAGAAGTGGCTGGTGTGTTAAGCAAGTGGCTAGGAGCAAGCCTGGTGGGAACACACAGGGCTCTCCAGGAAGGACGGATGGACTTTTAGGAGAACAAGCAGGAGGTAACAAAGTGTTGATTTTTTTTTTTTTTTCCCTGTACGGGTATGAGTGGCTTTTGTTGTCTTCAGGTCGTAAAGCTTCCTAGGGCAGGGATTTGTTGTGGGGGCAGAACTGTTCGTTGCTCCTGTGAGAGGATACATGGCAGCCTCATTTCCCAGAAGTTGTTGCTTTTGGTCAGGTAAGGAAAGCTCATGAAGGCTGCTTTTTGCATCTGTTGAGTTTCAGATGTCTGTAGCTTAAAATAACCTCACAGCACCGCTGGGGTTCGCTGTACCAGTGTCGCCTCTGTGAGGCACCGCCCCTCCTGAATTGCAGGTGCCACATCCCATAGCATTTACGTTGTTAGCTGTTGTAAATGATCTGAGATGGTTTAGAGTATGTGGGAGGATGTGCTGTGTGGAGATTATAGCAGATACCCCATTTTATAGAAGAGACTGAGTTCCTCTGGAGGTCTTAGAGCTCCCCATAGCTGTGAGGGGGACTGTATCCTTTCAGACCGTTCTTGTTGTAGGGTCGGTGGTAGATGTGATTATCAGGCACCGGGACAGGTGGCAGATTTGGGACCTACTCTGGTGTCTGGAGTATGGCTCTGACCTGCCTCTAGGGTGCAGGCCTCAGGGTGGATGCTGGTGCCAGCCCTTGACAATTCCAAGATCACCATCCCTCTGTCCCTGTTGTGGCACCCCTGTCCCAATCCGAGTAGAGAAACCAGCAACTGGGGATATAGTTGGGGAATAATTCTGGCGAGGAGGGGGAGGAGCAGGGCAGAACCCACAGCTTCTGGCTCCCGGGTCCTGGAGAGGAGAGTGGAGGGTGCGGGGAGCCCTCGCGTGCAGAGAAGGGAAGCACTGGGGGCGGGTGACTCACGAGTAGTGTGGTCACCAGTGGGGGGCCAGTAGGGCTGGTAGGGGTTCATCTGCCGGAGGACGGGATGCACGCTGGGGACAGATTTTGGCTGCAGGGTGGCCTCTGCTCTGCTGTAACCCTCGGTGACTTCCCACTTGTTTGAAAGGGCTGGCCTTTGCCACTCTGCCTCAGGCCCCTGTCCACTGGCCCCCTTACACTCTCCCTCCTTGTTGCTTATTAGCTGTCCTCAGCTTTTAGTGGTTGGTGCCTGCAGGGTGACTCGTGCAGCAGCAGCGTCCACATACCTAGGAGCCTGAGAAGCAGGTTCAGCCAGCTTAGACCTTTCCATAATGCAGTTTGCACTTCCTGGTCCTTGGTGCTAGAGGGAGTAGGCACAGGTATGAAGCAGTGACCTGGATAAGGGTTTTTTTTCTTTCATCTTTTTGAGACAGGGACTTGCTATGCAGTTCAGGCTGGCTCCGAGTTCACTTGTAGCCCAGGCTAGTCTCAAAACGATCCTCCTGCCTCAGCCTCCCAAGTGCTGGGATTATAGGCGTGCACCACCATGCCGGGCATGAATAAGGGCTTGAGGCCTTGCCTCAGTGCTCTCGGTCTGGTGGGCCTCCTGCTTTGGCAGTGTCCCCTCCAGCATGTCTGCTCCCTGGAAGGGGCTGGTCTTATACCCCCTCTTCCTCTCCAGGAAGTAGGAGGTCTTTGTCACAAGATGGTGTCACTCTGGCCTTGGGCTCTGCTTTTGGGCACTTGCTTACAGAGAAAAAATGCATCAGGGTATCCTGCTCGGGCTCCCTGGAAAGGCAGAAGTAGGAGGGCTAGCAGGTTATTTTATGTGGTGGTGGGTAGGCGGTTACTTCTCCAGTTGGTAGATGTAAGAAGAAAGGAGGGTAGAGCTTTGGAATGCTGAGGGACAAGGGCGCGGTCACATATGCCTTGCTTCCTGGTGACACTGAGTCCCTAAGTCAGCAGAAGATGGGGTCCCAGGGTGTGATTGTACCATTAGTTGCCAAGGAGGAGAGGCTTCGAGGGGACTTCCCTCCCTCCCCATTCAGGCCTCACAGCTGAGTCCAACCGAAGCCAAACACACTGGAGTGCAAGTAGAAATCAGAACTTCCAAAGCCTCTCACAGAAAAACAGCAGATTTCCTATGTCAGTCAGGAAGAAAAGAAACGAGTCTTATGTGGAGTAGTTTATTTCTGACCCTCAGACAGGATGCTTTTGAAATGCCTAGAAGGAGCGGGCTGGTGTGACAGAAACCAGCGCACCAGCATCTTCATGAACGACAGGAGGAGCACTGCGCATTCTGTCTGTGGTAGGAGGTGTTCTTGAAACTGGAACTGGGGCCCATTGGGCCTTCTCAAGGCAGGTGCCCGTGCCCGAGGAGTACCAGCTTTGCACCTGTCAGGTAGGTCCCAAGCCCACTGTCCAGGCTCTGTCGCTGGCCTGAATTTGGCTCCATGTGTCAGTGACCCAGGGCGTTGAAAAGCTTGAGAAACGGTTCTACATACATCAGAACCTGGACTTGGCGTTTGGGCTGTTTTAGGATTAACGCCACACAGCAGATTTTAGTTTAAAAATGAAGAGACTTCCTTTCCCAGATGCAGTGACCTCCCTAAGGTGTGCATTCAGTGTATGTAGCTGCCTTTCCTTGGGCACAGAGGTGACCTCAGCTCAAGCGTGCTGTGAAGCGGGCAGCATAGAGAGGGAATTCAGCAGCACACGGGCCGATGGTCAGTCGCTGCCCGGGGTGTAGCGAGGAAGGGCTGGTGAATTTTCCTGAGTTGGGGAGCTACAAAAGCAAAAAGGCCTGGAAACTGGAACACATTCCAGCACCAGCTCAGCTCTTGTCCGCGTTGGGAGGACCCCAAGGGAGCTCTGGTGGGCTTCTGCCCTGTGGTCAGGAGGGGCCCGATCGCCTTTCTTTCACTTTGTTATTGTCAGTGAATACACAGCTGCCCTACAGTATGGAGTAATGAAGATGCTGCTTTAAGGACAGAGGGGCGTTGTAGCTGAGGGGCATTGCTTCTGGGACCCGCTTGGACACCCAGACCCTCAGATACAAGACAGCCCCGGAAGTCAGGAGGGGCTGAAAGGACACACACGGCTAGGCCAGGCCTGCTTTTTTGGAAAGCTCCCTGGAGGGAAAGAGTACCGAGCCTTTGGAGGTGCCAGAAATTGGCTGCCTTTCTGCACAGCAAGTAGATCGGGGGTGCCATGTTGGGTGCCCCGTTCCCAGGAGCATCACATTGCCCTCCAGGCTCAGCGGGCACTCACAGGTGCAGGTGGAGGACGGGAGGCACCCTGCTCCTTGTCGCAGTATGCCCCAAGCTGTGCTGTCCTGCTGGGCTTGACTCGGCTGCAGGTTCTCAAACCCTGCTCTACATGAGGCTCACGAAGGAGATGGTCTGGAGATGTCCTTGTCCCTCTCTGAGGCTCGGGTCTGCAGCACTGTCCTTAGCAGAATCTGCAGCAGGAGCCCCACCAGATATGGCTATGCCCTGAGCTATCGGAGGTGTTGTGTGTGCGGTGGTCCTTACCCTGACTTGATTTCCTTGCTGACTCAAGTTTTTGATGCTTTCTAGAACCAAAATAGCAGGGACGAACTTGCTCCAGTTATTTAAAATATTTTTTCTGGTTCTGTTTTAAAAGTAATTCCATCGTTTTTTGTTTTTGTTTGTGTAGGATACGAAGTTATGGATAATAATGGAGTATCTTGGTGGCGGCTCTGCACTGGATCTCGTAAGTAGTATGTCGAATGTGTTCCGTACACCCGACTTTCCTTAGTCTGGGTTTGGAAGATAATTCTGTATTCATCACTTTGCCCTCTTCTAAGTTTCATGAAAAAGGAACCAAGTTATTCTTTATGCCTTTTTGCTTCTTATATGTTACTGAAAATTACAGGCCTGCCTTTAAAATCAGTTTGCTTTGTTGTTTTATGAGAAACCAGTGATTTCACTCATAGAAGCAGTGAGGGATTTTGCCCAGAACTCATCTTACCTAAGTACAGTTGGTTAGCTTACTTTCCAGAAGTTTTTAGCTTTTGGAGAGCTGATAACATCATGGTTTCGTGTTTCAGATGGTAATTTAGCTTCCAAAATAAGTGTATCACATTTTCATCTCCAGAGTAAGACTCAGATGATTATCGAGGTGTGGTGCCGGGTCTTACAACAGGGGTTAGGCAAGGAGGTGGATGGATGCCCACTCTTGCGTCTTGCCAGCGGGCACACTGTTGGGACAAGCAGGCCCGGCCCAGGTGGTGTCTCCTCTTCTGGCCCTGCTGTAGGAGCCTGTCTGGCTTCCAGGCCTCACGGAAGGTGGTGAAAGCTGCGGGGTGTGCTGGTTTTTGTGTCAAACATGGCTTCAAGCTGGGCTTTCAGGTGCTCACAAATAAGCAGCTTGTAAGCATGGCTTGCATCACCTTTGAAACATAGGGCATGCAGAGAAGAATTTTTTAAGAAAAAGATACCACATAGTTTGTTTAGCATTTGCCATCTCTTCTGCAGTAGCAATAAAATCATGTTGTCCAGCCCACCCTGAAGGCTGGTTTTAGGTCTGAGACTCTAGCTGGCTGACGTGGTCATTTCAGCAGTGGAAGCTTGCCTGGCAGGATGGCGTGGGGATGATGGTGCTGTGGTTTTCACTGCTCCTGTGATGACAGCTGAAGGAAGTCATGTTTGTTTTGTATTTTCAGTCTATACAGATTGTACTCACAGAGGAAGGAGATCCCTTGTGATTGAGAGGTGGTTTCTTTTTCATAGTAGTAATAGCAATAAGGTATTTTTGAAGGTGAAATTCTAAAGCTATGTGTCTTAGTAACTTTTCTGTCCTTGCTGAGACAAAATACCCGACACCCAAAGTTAAAGAGGGGAAGGTTTACTTAGCTCACAGTTTGTAGAAGTTTTAGTCCATAGTCAGCTGCCTCCAGGCAGAGTGGCATATGGCAGAGGGGCATCTGTTCATGGTGGTGGAAGACAGCAAAAGCAGCGAGAGAGAGAGCAGGGTCAAGCTTCTTTCTGTCCCTTATGTTGCATGCAGGCTGCCTGTTCTAGGGCAGGTGTAGCACTCACACCCTTAATCCCCATATTGGGCCATGAATCAGTCAAAGTCGAGATTCAACCACCCTTGAGAAGCCCACCCCCCATAAGGCTGCGTGAGGCTTTGGGGGGACATCTTGACACAAACCATAGACTATGTGTATCTCCAGAAAGACGATATACCTTCATTTAGAAAATTGCATACTGTTGTAAGCCATACAGAAAAAGTCAAAAGGGTTAAAAAGAAAGATTTCAGTAAAAACGAATCTAGTTTAGTATAAACAATAAAATTGAAGTGGGGGGAAAAAACCCAACTGGGTACTTTGCTTTTGTCTTTGTTTTTTTTTCCCCATAAATATACACATTACACAAAAAGCTTTTCATTTCCTCACTCTTTTGGGAAATACTAGAGGAATGTAGAAAATTACCTCCTTTTGTGCAATTACATTTACTGTTATCCTAAGTGAGTTTAATTTGTGGCATATGAAGTTGTTCGCAGAGACTTTCTTTCCCTGACGCTGACTCCCTCAGAGCAGCAGTTCTGCTTTGAGTGCTTCAGTGTGTATCCACTGTCAGTGCTGTAGTAATTTTTCTTTTTTTTCTTTTTTTTGGTACTGGGAATCGAACTCACGACCTTGCGCTTGCCATGCAAGTGCTTGTGCCGCTGAGGTGTATCCCCAGCCCTGTAGTAGTTTAATGTGTTGGATTTGGTCTCAGTGCAGTTTTTGACATTGCTTTTAGCGGGAGGTGTGGGCTTGCTGGCTGCGGAGACTGACCTGCTTCGTCTCTTTCTCTGTCTTCCATCCCAGCCCCCAAAGCTTCACAGTGGAGGAGACACTTTAATTATGGGATCAGTAGTTATTTTTTGAACTTTGGAAACGGTTACGATTATTTCAAAAGGGCCTGCTACATATTTATAAAAGATCTTGAAAACCAGAATATTGTCACTCGTGAAAGTGTGATGCAGTGTAGCTGAATAGATGGATTTAGGGGCCATATCCTTGAAAACTTCTAACTAGGTTTTACTTGTCTCTGCCAGCAGGCACGTTGTTAACCTGTGCCTCTGTAGGAGCGCCATGTTGAGGGCCTACAGGGGAAAGATGACTGCGTGTCTTATTCAGAGAGCCTGCCCTGCCAGTCCCCTGAGCATGAGGATCCCTCAGCAGAGAAAATCCCCTAAGGCTGCAGTCTGCTCAGAGACCGGCAGGGGTCTCTGCGGGGCCTTCCTGTCCTTGCCCTTGCGCACACACTGCGCGTACCTGTCTGGATTCGAGTGCTCGCTGTATCGTACACAGTGCCCTTGCGCGCTTGGTTGTGGCCATCATCCTGTGTTACCTGTGCCATAAAACCTTAGTGTGCTTGCTTCCATCGGGTCTCAGCCAGGACAGGAAGACGGCCGCCCTCCTTCCCCGGGATGCCCTTTGAGCGTGTCTGAGAATGGATTTGGGAAGCTTGCCTTTGGTTCCAGCGTCAAGGTTCAAGGTTCAGTGGAGGCAGGCTCCAGGTTGGGATGTGGGGCAGAAATTGCCAGGATGTTTCCTCTAGGGGAACCGTGGAGGTCAGCAGACACTGCTGAGTGTTAGTGGCAGGTGTCAGACCAAGGACTGAAATGTGATATCTCCGATTTACAAACTCACAGGGCCCCCTATAGAGAAAAAGTGACTTTATCCCAAGTTAGAGATGGGGGAGCCTCCAAACCAGATGGCAAGTCCTGGTTTCTTTCTTCCACTACATGATGTGCAAATAGACATTGGCCCGTCGTAGGGAGACAGAGTGCAGACTGCAGTGGGAAGCCTTTATTCCATCAGTTTGGTGTCAGCCCGGATCTCCTTGAGTGAATTCTTGAGGGGTCATCCTGCGGAGGGACTGCCTGGGTCGAGGCCAGGGTGTGAGCGTCTCCTTAGCTGGCTAAAGGTAAACCAGGGCTGATTGAGGCTGTGTGCCTTGTGAGCCCTCTCTTCTTTTCCTGGTGCTGCATGCTTTTTGACCTTTAAAAAATACAAATTTAGAATCTACTGTGAAGGACAAAGAGACAGTGTAGTTAGTTCAGTTATAAGAGCCATGAATATATTTTTGAGTGCATACGTCTGGATGTGCTCCATCTCTGGGGGTGTATGTGTGTGTGTAATTGCGAGGATATTAAATAATAAGTGGAATGTTGGTAGAGCCCACAGGGAGAGAACCCTGAGTTCTTTTGAATACAGTTTGGAAGCCACTTGTGTCATTAGGCTGTCAGATCGCAGCTGCCTGTGGGATGGCCAGGCCAGGGAGAGTGTCAGCCATAGTGGGCGGTTCAAGACGTTCCAGCTTCCAGTGTGACAAGAGTTGGTCGCCCGGTGAGGGAAACCATTTCAATCAGAAAATACTTACTGTGTGCCTACTGCATGTCTGGTCTTGCCCGAGCCCTGGGGAGTTCTGGAGTCCTTCTGTTACGGAGCTGCACAGCCGAGTGTATCACCGTGTGTTAGAAGGTGTTGAAGGAAGAGAAAGCAGGTGGAGGGCATTAGAAGAGGTGAGTGAGGATTAGCAAGAGGGCCTGCGGCCAAAAGGTTTTATCTGATTAGTAGGTCAGTTAGTATTGCCAGAGAATCTAAGGGCAGACTTGGAATATAATTAAGAAGGAACTTCACTACATAAATCCATTGCTTGATCAGGCAGAGATGTTGACAAGCTTAAAAATGAATACACAACACAATTTTGGAAAAAAAAAACCCAAGGTGGTGCATTCAAGTAATGTTTAGGCCAAGCTGCTGTTGTCACAGCTCCAAAACAAGACAGAAGTGGAGTTCCGCCCCACATGTCGGGTCACCCGCATCCTCTCCAGCGGCCAGTATTCAGCGCCAAGACCGGGAGGGGCTGTGTCCTGTGTGCTCACGTTCCACACACTGATGCTGCAGGGCCTGGGGCTGTGGTCTCCAGCTGGGTGGCGGCGTGCCCAGCTGGTGGCCTTCACGGCAGAGGAAGAAGTGGAGAGAGATGTGGGGGAAGGGGTTAGTGGTCACCCATGGATGAGAGGTAGTCCACATTTTTCCCTGTTACAGATTCTTGAAATGCTCCCAAGCTTAGTGACAGAGTCCACCATGTTTCCCCCAGCTAGCAGTTTGTAATAATGGAGTAGGCTAGCGTATGACTCAGAGAATTAAGCTTGCCCTGGCTTGACCAACTCTAGGAGTACCTGTTACCGCGAATTTGACAGTTATGTTAGGGTTCTCCAGAGAGACAAAACCAACAGGAAGTGGGTGGATGAGATGGGATTTACTAACGAAATTGCTTATGTGATTATGGAGGCTGAGCAGGCCCACGGTAGGTGGTCTGCGAGCTGGAGAACCAGGGAAGTCTATAGCATGGCTCAGTCCAAGTCCAAAGGCCAGAGAATGCAGAGTTCTGATGTCCAAGGGCAGAAGAGAGGTGTCCCAGCTTTAGAAGAGAGAGTGAAAATTTGCCTTTTCTCTGCCTCGTGTTGTTTGGCCCTCAGCAGTATGGATGAGTCTACTATCTGCAAGTGATGGTGGACATACTGTCTGATCTAAATGGCCCGTTAGCTCTGATTCTTTCTTCTGAATGGGGATGGCGCATCTGACACTTCTTCCTTACACCTTTATAAGAGTGGGTATTTAAGGAGTCCAGAGTAACAACTCCGAGTTTCTCAGAATAAAAATTTCCAGAGATAGTTATCACCTCAATAGGAATAAATAATTTTTATTATTTAATGTATATATTTTGTAACAAATTCTAAAGTGTTAGGAATTGAACTCTTTCAGATACATCCCTTGAAGATGAGCTTTAAAATAGACTTAAAAATCCGGGTGCAGCAGTAACCTCCGGAATGGATGTGCTGCACTTTGAGTTGTAGAGATGCACCTTCTGGTAAGAGCGCCGAGTTGATGAGGGCAGATCCTGGTCGCACTGTGTTCCTGGACTCTGTCTCCTGACTGTGGGTTTCCTGCCTGCGCCCCACCTTCCTTTGGGCCAGATGGTGACCCTCACAGCGGGTGTAGTGACCAGGGCTTCCTCACGGGCACCACTGAATTGGAGCTGATCTTGCTTCATTCTGCGAAGTCATTTTCTCCGGTTCTGTTTTTTAAAGGATGCTTTAATAGATTTTAATTATGTAGCAAAATGTGTGCTTTAAGTGAAAAATTTCTTTTGTTTTTTGGCACTGCGAAGTGAACTCAGGACCACACACTTGCCAAGCAAGGCGCTGTGCAGCTGAGCTATAGCCCCGGTGGGGAAAACGTTTCCAAATGTTGCTTATCCTTTTGCATTGAATGGGGATACTGCCTTGCCTCCCACTACAGGTGAAACAATCACTTAGTGCTTGTAACACTCTCTTGTGGTTGTCTTTGTTAGTTAGAGCCTGGCCCTTTAGATGAAACTCAGATTGCCACCATATTAAGAGAGATCCTGAAGGGACTCGATTACCTGCACTCAGAGAAGAAGATCCATAGAGATATTAAAGGTAAGAACACCGTGCTGTTTTCACTCTGTTAAAATACCAGAGATGGTGAAGCTAAACTTTAGCCCAAGGGGAGCTGTCCCACACCATCAGCGCTGTGGGACTGGGCTGAAGGTGGGGCGGGACCCCTGGCCAGTTCCACTGGGGCAGCATGGTGGCCGGAAGAGGACACATTGGCCCTGCCCCTGTGCTTGGCACTGTGCAGTGTGGTGACTGATGTCAGTGTGGTTTTCCTTCACAGCGGCCAATGTTCTGCTGTCTGAACACGGAGAGGTGAAGCTGGCTGACTTTGGAGTGGCCGGCCAGCTGACAGATACCCAGATAAAGAGGAATACCTTCGTGGGTACCCCTTTCTGGATGGCGCCCGAGGTCATCAAACAGTCAGCCTACGACTCGAAGGTAAGAGCCAGCGTGCTGTCCTCCTGTCCTGCAGCCCTTTGCTGGCACCTTCAGGGCTGACCTCTCTTCCTTCTGTGCCCTTGAACACCTTTGCTGATGCGGCCACGGTGACTGTAGTTTTAGCTTCGTGTATATTTGGTGCGGTGGGTACAGAAGAAGGTGGCGGGGGGGGGGGCAGGAGGACCACGGTTTGAGCACAGACGTCCAGCGGCAAGCAGCAGAGGCCGAGCAGGTGGCCGCTGCAGGTGCGCAGGAGGGGAAGCCTGAGCAGAGTGGACGAGCGGCGGGGCTGGGACCCTGCTCTGTCCGTCGGTCAGAGGGCACACAGACGAGGAGCAAGGGGAGAGGCCGCAGCAGCGTGAGGGAGAGCGTGCTCTGTGACTGCCATGGAGTCTTCCTGCCGTGTTACTGTTAGTTCTCAGGATCTCACTCCTGCATCTTCCTTATCAACATGAGGCACGATGTCATCTTTCTTCTGATTGCTTTTACTTGCCAGTTCTTTTCCTCCCTGTTGCCCTTCAGGAGTGGGATTTCAGGGTTGGGGCCTTAGGGAGACGTCTCTCCCTGCACCCCCATGGGGTACGGCTCTGGGCCAGTAACTCTTGTCTGGAGCAGGGCCTGACCATGCGTGCTTCTCCAGGCTCGCTTTGTGGCTGTCCTCAGGGCTGGTGCATCTGCAGTAGCTGATGTGGCTGCTGTAGTCTCTTGATGCTCAGGCGTCGCCACCTTCTTCCCAGTGCCCGTTTTATGCATCCTGGTGGGTACTCGGGGGCGTCTTTCCTCTGGTGTCTGCATTGCAGGTTCAGGGACACCTTCCCCGCCGGGCTCACAGGCTTCCGTCCTGCAGTTAGGAGAGCATGCACCAGGCAGCTTTCTCTTTATGCACACACTGAGTCTCAAAGGCAGGACAGATGGGGGAAGGAAGGACGTACCTGCCTTACGGGGCAGCCTTTTCCTCCCCTAAGCTGGTGGGAGCAGCCATACCCTCTTCCTGAAGCGTTGACAGCGCTGCTTGCCGTGATAACCAGAGCCAGTGCCTTGAACCCACTGTCATTTGTCTGGCCTGCCAGTCGCTCCTGGATGTGTGCGTTGCACACGCAGCTTCTGTGTTAGTCGCAGTTCTCAGTCTAAGCATAGCAGTCAGAAGTGGCACATGGGGAAGAGTAGCGTTTCCTTGGTGTTGCAGATGTGGTGCAGTGTGGCGGGCAGTGCCCACAACACTGGCCTGCCCTGAATTGATGATGTCCAGAGGCCAGGCTCAGCATCCTCTTATACATGGTTTTTCCTGGTTTTGGCCTCAGAAGCAGCGTGTGTGTGTTCTTTAGCGATGATCTGGAACATACTGAAGGAAAGAAAAAATGGAGACAGGAAAACCATCTGTAGATTGCTGCCAAGCCCGGGCCGAGTGAATTCCAGTACCCAGTCATCTCTGAAATAACCACTCCCAGTCGCACCGCAGCAAGGCGTTGATGGGAAAAGCAACGGTGCTGAAGCCGGGTGAGGAGCTGGCCGGTTAGCAGTGGCTGTTGGTGCCCGCAGTTGGCTGCCTCCTGTGGAGCAGGGCCGCGCCTCCCTGCCAGCTCCAGCGCTGAGCCCGTTGCTCCCCTGCTGCGCACACACGGGCTCAGGTGTCACCTGCTGCCCTGCCTGGGTGGAAGGAGCCTGCAGGGGACAAGGGTGTGACTGAGGGGCGAGCGACTCTGGGCTTTATTTCCGCAGATTTAATGTGCGGCCATTGCAGGTGAAGCTTTTATGACCGTTAAATACTCATAAGTGTCTTCTCTGTGTCCAGATCCCATGTATAAATCCATTCCTAAGTATTGCATCTGAGCGCACAGTAACTGTCTTAAATCCATTTCTGTTTTGACTAGTTCAGTTATGAGTAACCTGGTGTTAAGCCTGGTTTTCTTGGCTTGATTTTAGAGTTGATTAGGGTTTCTGTAGAACTGTTTCCTATGCATAATTTAAAAGATGTCACTCAAGTCGTGTTCTGTCTCCAGACTCTAGCCAGTTTGCTTTATTCCACTTGATGTTGTAAGGACGGACACTGCTGTGTAGAATTCGGCTTTCCCTGTTCGCGTTGAGGAGCCCTCCAGGCAGGAACCGCGATTCCACATGGTCTCTGGCCCACGCTTCCTAGAAGTGTTTACGTGGGAAGAGAGCTGCTCCCAATTAACACCTGCATTTCAGGCCCTTGGCCTCCGTAGCTTGCGATGTGGGTGTGTATTGAAAACCACTGTCTGCTTTCTCTGCTGGCAGCATCTTAGTAGCTAATTTCATGTTTCCCCAAATGGCAAGAGAGTGGATCCCCTCGTGCCTGTTTTCCTTGCCATGGAAGAAGACTCCCTTCCCTACATACCTTTTAGTTTGTTACTCAGGCACACATTCCAAATTGGATGCTGCATTTCCTAGATGCAAAAATTACACAAACTCGGTTTTAAGACTCTTACCAGTGCCTTGTTGTTGGTATGTGATAGCTCACTAGGTTAATGGGCCAGTGCAATTTTATAATTTTTTTCTGAAGTTGAATGCAAGTAATGCTGTTACTGAATATTTTGGGGAACACCTACCATCTTCCAAATCTTACATCTGTCGAGGATATGTTCCTACAAGTGGGATTGTTTGTAACAAGTTTGGAGTTTTCACTTTTGAGTCATTTGCCAAATTTCTAGGCATTCGTTTCCTCCCTCCCTCCCTCCTTCCGGTTCTGTGTGTGTGTGTGTGTGTGTGTGTGTGTGTGTGTGTGTGTGTGTGTGTGAATGAATGAACCCAGGGTCTTCACACTGAGGTACATTCCTAGCCTTTTTATTATTTTGAGTCATGGTCTTGCTGAGTTACCCAGGCTAGGTTTCAGTCCTCTTGCCTCCGCCTCCCAGAGTGCTAGGACCACTTGGCATTTATTTGCGTGCCAGTCTAGGTTTCTAGGTGTCCGCATTAGGGTGAGCATTAGATGTCTGAAGGTGGGGGAAGGCCACACAGCACCCATCCCTTTCGCAAGCCAGGAGTAGGAGGCGGGGGACACAGCGCACCAGGAGCCGCAGTTCGGAGCCTGGCTGGTTGGAGGCGTCCTGAGGAGCCGGATGACACAGCACCAGTGTCTTTGCGTGGTGCTGCCCTGTGACCTCTTTCAGGAAGCCGGCCGGAATGCTCAGTGTGGTGCCTGAGCAGGTCTGGGCAGAGCCAGGAAGGGCTTTCCTCAGGTGGCTTCAGCTGGTGTGTGTTGGCATGGCACCGGGACAGGGTCTTCCCCGAGACTTGTTGCCTTTCTCACTACCCAGCCCCACGCCTGGAAGCAAAGCCCTCAGCCTCTGGGAAGTCGGTGCTCGCTCAGCCGTGGCTGGCGGAAGGAGAGATCCTTGTCCTCTGGGCCTCCTGGGTAGGGGTGTGGTGAGTGGGTGCGGGTTCCTCGGTGGGCTGGAGGCCTTGTCACAGAGCATGTGGAGAGATGGCCCATCTCTGTGGCCCAGAGCCTGCTTTGCCATTAGCAGCAGCTGCAACGTGCTGGTTCAGGCGAGCTGGTGCAAACAGGTGGAGGGGAGTCGAGCAGACTTCCAAGGTCTCCTGTGTGTAAAGTGCCGTAGCTGCATCTGTCCCTCCAGCTCGTCTTCCTCCTGCTGGCCGCTTGTGCACTCTCCACCACCACTCTGGCTCCAGGCACCTCTGTGTGCATCTGCACCCCTCCCGGGGCAGAGGGAGTGTGGGATAAATCCTGTTTCTGCTGAGCTGGGGAATAAGACTTGCTGACAGCTGTCCCCATCTTGGTGGAGAACGGAAGAAAGTGGTAAATGCCCCAGGTCCCGATCCCAGGACCACTGGGCCTGGCTTCTGGGAGGAAGTTGTGGCGCTCATGGGTGGCAGAACATGGGCAGTGAGTGCTGTCCGCTTCCGCTTTGGCAGGGGTCAAAAGCTGCCCAAGTCCCGTGGTCACCTAGCCAAGCTGCAGCCTTCCCCTTTGTTGCCATGCGGTGCGTGAGAGTGAAGTATTAGGTTCTAGTTGAGTCCTTGGAGTCGTGATGGGTGGCACAGAGACACCAATGGCAGAAAAGTGTCCCTGGACGAAGGCTTGTTCCCTGCCTCCATTCCCCAGGTTATCTTTGCCAGCCTGTTTTGTTCTTTGATTTTTCCAGTGTTTGCCCTGTTCTCTGGGGATTGGTGAAGTGTCATTAACCGATGGGTTCAATCTTTTAAAATTACGCAGCATTATTTGTATGTTACATGTTCATTGATCTCACCACTGGCTCAGTCTTGGTCATACTGTGTCAGGGCAGCTGACACCCGGTGCTCTGTGGGGGGCCGCTGGCGTCTGCCAACTGTGAGTCTAGCCCAGCCTCCCTGTCCGGGGCACCTGTAGGACCTTTGGCAGGAAGTACAGGCTCTGGAGAAGCAGATGGAATGCTGTCAGGAAGCAGCCACCAGGCAGAGCTGGAGACCTCTCTTCAGATTGATGGCACTGGGCGGATTGAACGGGAACTGTTTGGGTGATCATTGAGGATGTGCAAACCTTGTTTGGGTCCTGATTTGGATGAATCAACCATGGAAAACAGGGTTTTTTTGAGCAGTTGAGAAAATTTAGTTGTTATATGTATGATATTAAGGAATTAGAAATCCTCCTCAATAAACTGAAAACTGGCACATTTGAGCTTATTAGCAGCATCTGGTTATTTTCTTTCCCTTCTGATCGGGGACTTACTGGGACTGTTCTGGCTACCACTGCCCCTCATCACAAGAAACAATTGTATTGCATTGTTTTCCTGGGAAAAAGGTCCAGATCTGAAATGTGAAGTATGGTTTCTCTTGAATCATCCCTTTCATACTACTGTCAAGTCGAACCACTGGAAGTCAAGCCTGGGTAATTTTAGGTGTCAGTATGTGACAAACAGTCTTAATGGCAGCAAAGTAGAGGAGACGTTATGGTGACTGATTTATTTTAAAATATACTCTGGCAACAAATAGACTAAGCCTGTATGGTCAAACGTTACTTACAGTTACTAAATACGTGTGGTGAGTAGCATCTCTGTGTCTGAAGGTTCTCAGAATAGTGGTTCTCGGGTTCCGGGCACAGTGTTGGGTCCCTAGCACAGCTGCCCTCCCCTGCTCTGCAGATGAGGAAAGGAAGGCTGAGGTTAGCGGCTTTGTCTGAAATTGCAGGACTTTTGTCTATGGAGGCAGCGTGTGAACCCACATCTTAGAGACCAAGGTGCCATCCAAACCAACAGCTGGGTCTAGTGCTAAGCATGCTTGGGGTGTGTGGTGACTCCAGAATTATCTCCTTGCCCCAGCTGTTCCTTGCCTGCCACAGTCTCCAGGGACCCAGCATCCCTAATGTAGCAAGCAGTGCCTGCTGTAGAGCAGTCACGTGACCCTTGTCAGGGTAGAAGTGCGAGATGTTTGGTAGAGCGCATTTTCCCAGTTGCTGCCTATTTTGAAATTATAGGAAGGGCTAAAAATAATTGTCTTTTCTGAAACCTTGGAAGTACACCGAGAGGGGTGCTGTCCTTTTGCTAAGCGTGTTGGTGGAACACATTTCTGTTCTGAGTCTAACGAGGCCTTGTCATTGCAGGCAGACATCTGGTCCCTGGGCATCACGGCTATAGAACTGGCACGAGGCGAGCCACCCCATTCCGAGCTGCATCCCATGAAGGTTTTATTCCTCATTCCAAAGAACAACCCCCCAACGCTGGAGGGAAACTACAGCAAGCCCCTCAAGGAGTTCGTGGAGGCCTGTTTGAATAAGGAGCCGAGCTTTGTGAGTTTGTGCTGCTGTGGGGCGCGGCTGGGTTTCCGGGCACCCTGTTGGGATCCATTCCGTCTCATTTGTTTTTTCCCCTAAATGAGTTTGATTTGTTCCAACTACAAATATGCTTTTCTTTTCATTTAATCTTTTAAGGGTGAAAACTACTTACTTTCTTTTAGATTTTTCTAGCATCTCATACCTCAGGAGGATCTCCTTAATATTAGGGGGAATCGTAAATGGTTACTGTTGTGGAGGAAGGTCAGCCTGTGAGCTGTGAGCCGTTTTTAGTGCTGGTTAAGGCGCGTCTGAGCAGTGATGCTCACTGCTGTTCCTCGTTGGCCGGGGTGTGCTCGGAAGCGGGACGAGGAGGGTGGAAACGAGGCGCCGATTCCCCGTCCCTTCCTCCCCTTCCTCTCCCACTTCATGGTTTATTCACAGTGGCAGAGCCTGCGGGCCTGCATGGCTTTACCTCACTTTTCTCCCCAGTCAGGACGTGCTCTAAAGGCTGTCTGTGTGTTTCGGTGTTCACTGTAGCACCCCTGTCTTGTCCTTGTTTTGCGGCTGAGTTTTGGGCAGGGTCAGCTGAAGACCAGGCTGGCCCTTGCCCTGTCCCGGCCCATTCTCTCTCACCTGTCTTGGGGTGATGACTTTTTACAGAGCTTCGTGGTCCTAATGTAGCAGTTCTGGTGAGGGAGTGAAGTGGGGAGTAGGGCATTTTTCACACATGGGGTCACTGTACCAAGTGGCGGGGCGTTTTGCTCCCAGCCAGTGCTCTGACTTGGACGTGATGTTGGCAGCCCCAGGAGGACACGTCCATGTGCGTACACATCTTCCATGAAAGCGCATTTCCCAGACTGGTGCCTTCCCCCGGACGTGCCCTCCCACCTCACCTAGGCCAGGCTTTGGAGGACAAGGATGTGGAGCTGAGGATGTGCGTGCCTTGCGGGTGGGGGAAGCGACACCGCCTGAGCTGACGTGGTTTCCACACGCGCGCACATGTGAACTTGCTGGCTGTTCTTACTCAGGTCTCTGTGATATGGGACAAGCGGGAGCCTGTGTGATCTGCCGGCATTTCTGTGTCCCACTGTCTGTTCCGGGTCTCTCCACGCTGCGTTTCCCTGGGGAACCTGGTCCCTGCAGCAGCTGGGTTTGCAACCTTGAGGTCAAAGCCCTTGGTTGACCTCAGTGTCTCGAGTCTCGAGTGTGCCCTTCAGCCGGGCTGTGCCGTGCCGGGGCGGGCTGAAGTGCTGAGCTCAGTCACAAGGGCCGGGACAGGTGGGGCTGCTGGCTCTCGCATGGGGAGCGCTGGTGACCGGGAGCCGTGCCGTGCTCTTCCTGCTCAGGAGGAGAGGGTCTCTCGGGGCTCCTCTCCTGTTTCTTTCAGATGAACCCAGAGGAGCACACTGACTTCAGTGTCTCTCGGGGTGTTAGCCAGAGCGCAGACAGGAAGTTCACTGCGGAGAGAGCCTGTCTGTCCTCACCCGTGTCTGCAGTGGTGGGGGGCGAGGTGTGGCTCTCGGACATCGCCGCAGGTCCCGCACAGATTGTGGCGCGGGGCCTCTCGCTTTCATTGGGTGCTACCTGGCAAGGAAGCTAAGTGTCCAGAGTCCCAGGCAGGAGCACAGGGCCTCGTTGTCAGTAAGCCTAGGAGTGAAGTGGGACCTTGTCAGTGGAGGGAGGCGTTCTGATGTTTTGAGGGAGACGGTGCCCCTCGGGGTGGAGGAGAGCTGCGGGAGGAATGATCTCCACCTCATCCTTTGCAGAGACCTACGGCGAAGGAGTTGCTGAAGCACAAGTTTATAATTCGCAACGCCAAGAAGACATCCTATCTGACTGAGCTCATCGACAGGTACAAGAGGTGGAAGGCCGAGCAGAGCCACGACGACTCCAGCTCCGAGGACTCGGATGCGTAAGTCGCCGTCTGGGCCTCGTCTTGCTTGTGACCAGCCCGGGAGTCTTGGTTCTCGGCTTGCATTGCAGGGTGGGGTGAAGCTTTGTGTTCCTTCTTAGATGGCCCGGGCCAAAGTGGTACTTGTGTGGTGTGCCATGCAGCTGTGTTTGAGACTCTCAGGTGGCATCTGATGTGGCCAGGCGTTTCCCTGACGTGTGTGACAGAGTGTGTGTGACCTGGGCTGCAGTGTTCCACCGAGGGTGCTGGGGCCAGCGGGGTAGAGCTGAGGCTGGAGTGGGCAGGCGGGGAAGGCTCGGCTCGATGCAAGGAAGGAGATATGGCTACAGGTGCCCCTTAGCCGGGCTGTGCAGAGGACAAGGGCTGGCTTTGGAGTGTGGACGGTGACAGCTGGAGGCAGAGGGCAGATGGGCAGCAGAGCACAGTGGGGAGACAGGTGTGGCCAGGTGGGGGGACAGGGAGCAAAGCCAGCCCCAGCTTTGGCTGGGAGGAAGCCTCCAGGAGAGAAGCTGAGGCCCCTGGGCCTGGCTGACAGTCGGGGTTGGAGCGTTCTTCCTCTGTGGGAGCAGAGCAGGGGTGAGCTGGACTCCCCATGGTCCGGTCTCCATGGGCAATGCTGGGGGACTGGGTGGGGACGAGGAGGGCGCTGGGGATCGGAAGCCGCTGTGTCGCTGAATGACTGACTGTGATATCTGTGTCCAGAGAAACAGATGGCCAGGCATCCGGAGGCAACGACTCTGGGGACTGGATCTTCACCATCCGAGAGAAGGACCCCAAGAACCTCGAGAATGGAGCTCTTCCGCCCTCGGAGTTGGAGAGGAGTAAGGTACGGTCACCGTGCTCTGATGCGGGGGTTGTCGGCCAGTGGTGGCTTTGGTCCCTTCCCCTGTGGATGGGGCGGATGGCTCCCCCATCCTGCAGGCAGCCAGGCGGTGACAGACCCTGCGGGTTAGCCGTCAGATTATCCAAAGGTTCAGAGTGGAGAGTCGGCCGTGCCGTGCCTTGCTGATTCTGCCCTCTTCTCCGAGGTCACACCAGGACCCTATGACCCTCAGCCGTGTGTCATTGCTCCTTCGGGTGCAGTTTCACCTACGCAGTGACTGTGGCTTCTTCAGGGCCACATCTATTTGCATGTTAGGGTTGTGTTTATAGCATACTGTAACTTTAGGGTAAAGCTTTATTTAAGGACTGTGTAAATGAATGCATTGCTTTTGGTAAACTTAATTTTGACTAATTAGTTTCATGGCTGTTTAAATTTACTAAAACGCAGCTGGGCATGATGATGCACACATGTAATCCCAGCACTCTGGGACGCTGAGGCAGGAAGATTTAGTGAAAGAGAAGGAAGGAAAGGGCTGAGGATGTTATGCAGTACAAAGGCCTCAAGTTCAAATCCTAGTACCACCACCAAAAAAAATTACAAAAGCGATGTCTTTAGGATTTTGGGGGGCGGTATTGAGGATTGAGCCCAGGGCCTCACACGTGCCAGGCAAGTGCTCTGTGACTGAGCCATATCCCATTCCTTTGGGGTTTTTAAAGTGCGGACAGTCCTTCCCGCTGCCCCTGGTCCCACAAGCCTTCTGTGATGAGTTGGGAGGAGTTCGGTATCCAGACAGAGGATGAAAATAGTGCCTGTGTAACGGCTCGTCGGGCACGGTGTCCTTTTCCAGGGTCCAGGCAGTGAATTCCCTCTGCACGGCACAGTGGAGTGGCCAGCATGGCTGTCCCCTCAGAGCTCACTGTCTTTGTCCCCTCCCTTCCTGTATGGGATCTGGGCGCTGGGTTCCCAGCTGGGTGGGTTTTGCTGGTGATTGCAGATCAAACCGTGTAGCCTTGGGAAGCCAGTGGCCAGTGAGCAGGACCCGTCCTCAGCACCACTCTGTAGACCAGCTGGGAAACCCGGAGGGTTGATGACCCGTTTCTGATGACCTTTCTTTTCTTCCCTAGATGAAAGACATCCCAAAGAGGCCTTTCTCCCAGTGTTTATCGACAATTATTTCTCCTCTGTTCGCAGAGGTAAGACGCCTGGCGGGCTTGCTGGAGAGCGCGGTGGGGGGGGGGGCGGTCGGCGCCTGCTGCTGTGGCGTGTTGTCAGCAAAGCTGGGGACATCGCAGCAGCTGGCGGGCACAGCTCGGCGAGTCTGCACTATGTCCATAGCGGGCAGCTGGCCTCAGGTGCTGAGAGCCACCTCCTGCCTGCTGTTGGCGGCCGTCTTCTGTCTCATCTGCCCAGGGAGATGCCCATGTGTCACGGTCCCAGTGACCCAGCCCTCGGCCTTGTGTTACCGGGGTGACATTCAGGTTGGGGGCTCTGAAATCTGGAGGATGCAGCCTAATCTCTGGCTCAGGCAAATTCATGGCAGTGTTCAAAGTAGTTTTACTTTTAAGGGAACTCTGATTTTTCTTGAGTTCCTGTGTTTTCCTTGAGCCACGATAGTTGCCCATAACCTGTACACTCTTGCAGAGAGGTCACCTCATCTAACAGGGCCCTTGGCCTGTGGATGGGTGTGCATGTGTGTGCGTCTGTGTGCATCCGTGTGTGTGCACACGCTTGTGTGTCCTTTCCTGGCTCAGCCTGCCTTGAGGACAACTGACGTGCATCACCCCCACATCTGTGCGTGGTGATCCTCACCTCTCTGGGCAGCTTTGATCAGGGGCCACGTCCAAGGTCTTGGGACTCCAGCGTGGTGGTCCACGGCAGGGAGGAAATGCTGCCTGTGCCCATCCTCCGGGCTCACACGTGGTCTCCCGAGTCACAGTGTCCCCTCCCGGCCCCTCAGGCTCCTCCATATAGTGGAATCCTGTTGGGGGACTGTGCTGGCCTCAGGTGGAGAGGCAAGGGCCAGGCCAGGCAAGCTGTGACGCCTCCTGGTCACCTGTGTCCTTCCCTAGACCCTGTTGTGGCCTTGAGCGTGTTGCCTGGGGCCCTGTGGCCTGCTAGCTGCTGTCCTGCGGCCTGCTGTTGGCTGTGTTAGTAAGATTGGCCAGAAATTAGGGGAAAGGGCACGTATTTTTCATTTGCCCAAATCTCTTTTTTATTGGGCTTCAATAGAAGCTCTTGAGATCATTATTTGGTAGCTTTCTCAGATTAATCCTAATGCAGAAATATCTGGGCTATTTATTTTATTTTATTTTATTTTTATTTTTTTATTTTTTTGGTTTTTCTCCGGTACCGGGAACCGAACTCACAACCTTGCGCTTGCCAGGCAGGCGCTTTTGCCGCTGAGCTAAATTCCCAGCCCCTATCTGGGCTATTTAAAAGGTAAACTTGTAAACTCACAGGCCTCCTGCCCTGTGTGTTTCTGTCATTGGTAATATGTTGTGACCCAGTGTTTGGAGTGTTCAATGGGCACGATTTTGGAGAATGGTCCTAAGAGCTCACTTCTAGGATGATTACCCTTATGTTTATACATGAGGATGGTAGGGAGACGGGTGTTGTGACCCCGTTGTCACTCACTGTCCAGCGTGCCCTTGGGCAGAGGGCTCCCCCCGCCTCCTGCTTTGAGGCACAGGTGAGGGGTGGTGGGCACAGATCACTCTTGGGCCTGGCTGTGCTGTGCTGGTAGGTGACGGGGTATAGGAGAGGGGCTCCAGGTCATCGGGGTTGCAGCCTGTGGCAAACAGTATTCCTGGCCCCCTAGGTCCCTGTCCAGTCCTTCCAGCAGGGAGAGAAGCTATTGCTGTCACGGTGATTACTGGTCTGTGGGTGACGACATGAGTTCTTCTCTGTTTTTTGGAGGGGGGGATCAGGAATTGAACTCAGGACCTTGTACTTGCCAGGCAGGTGCTTGTGCCACTGAGCTATATCCCTGGCCTGACATGAGTTCTTAACACGCCGCAGAGCCAAAGCCGAGTGTCCTTTGCGATACCCACAGAGACGAAATGGAGGAGGGGGCTCTGCAGCTGCCACCTGGAGTCCCTGGGAGGGCGTTTGGTCCTGAGCTGGCTGGACCTTGATCTGAGCCGCATTCCACTGTAGGGTGCGTGCTGGAGAGGGGCCTGGAGCTGATGCGGGTGAGGAGGTGCTGAGGACACTGGTTCCGTGGGCGCAGAGGGTGGGTGCGCAGGTCCCAGCATTCAGGGCTGCTGAAGGGCGCTCGGACAGCGAGCTGGCCCGGAGGGTGGTTGCTGGAACGGGAGAGCCAACCTGTTGATACCAGGAGCTGAGCCTGGACACCGCACACCGCACGCCAGGGCAATTTCTGGTGGACTTGAAATGGCTCTTCTGGAGCAAGAGTAAGGCTGCGTGGAAACGGAAACCCCCAGTTTGGAGAAAAGGTGCTCATGGAACTGGTCTCCTCCGTCCTGGTCTGGAGAAGGCACAAGCTGTTCGCTAGTTCTCTGCAGGAGACCCGGGGTGACCTGGTGGCTGTGGGTCTTCGGGACCTGGAGTGGTGTTGAGGTGACACGATCTTACTCCAGGGTGTGCGCCATGGGTCACACTGCCCTTTCTGTGTTTTCAGCTGAAGGAGAAGAGTCAGGCATGCGGAGGGAACCTGGGCTCCATAGAGGAGCTGCGCGGCGCCATCTACCTGGCGGAAGAGGCCTGCCCCGGCATCTCGGACACCATGGTGGCCCAGCTCGTGCAGCGGTTGCAGAGGTAAGTGCAGCCTTCTCGTGCTGCTTTCTTGGTCTGCCTTGGGGTCTCTCGGGCCCTGGCAGACTGCAGTGGAGCAGAACCTTGTGCCTTGTCTTGGCCCTGGAAATACAGGCTGGTTTAAACATACCAACTTTTAATTACGCAGTCTACTTATTAAAGCCTAATGAGCCAAAGAGGTCAAGCCCTTACTTAGCCCAATGCACGTAGCTGCACGCTAGGCCTTAGGCTTTAAGGTCTGGGGTTCAGAGTCCAGGAGGCCCTGGAAGTGGGGCTTTCACGAGCCTGCGTGTGGTGAGGGCCTTCTGCCGTGGCCCACAGTCCGTGCCGGGAGTCTTACCGGCACTCGGTGCTGGGACCTGGTAGCTCTGGCTGCCCGAGCTTCCGGCTGAACAGTAGGAGTGTGCTGCTGAGGTTCTGGGTACAGCGTCGCCCACACTGCCCTCCCCAGGCAGATGCTGTCACAGCAGTGTTTGGAGACAAGGCGTGCGGCCTGTCGCGCTGTGACTCGGGGCATGCTGTCTTTGGGCCCTCCTCAGGCCATGGCTTTGGTGCTTGTCCTCAGGTGTCCAGAGGGTGGCTGAGCCTTTGTGGTCATGAGAGTGTTTCCAGTCTCTTCTGAGACGGCTGCTTGACAAGACACAGTGGAGTCTTGGGCATGTGGGGTCACTTGGGCCGTTTATCATCTGCAAGTGGTGATTGCTAGGTTGCGTGTTGTGAGCCCCGCTGCCTGGGCCTCTAGCGGAAAGCACAGCCTTGACACTTGAACTTTATTCTCCCACCTTAGTGAAGGGTGTTGTGAGATTTTTATGCCTAGGATCAAAACTGAACGCTGTTTACTTGGCTGCTTCAGTTTTGGGGCAATCAAAGGAGTCAGTGGGCTTTGATCTCTCCCTGCCACCCTCTCAATACCAAAAGCCATATAACAAATTACAGAAATAAAGGAAAGTGGAATTTTAAGAGTCACCCTTATGCTTACCCCAGAGCACACTTTATGTCCCTAATAGGTATTTTTCATACCTCTTTCTAGTGGCATTTATTTATCATGAAAAAGAGCCTCACAGTAAGCAACTATTTTCATCCATATCATTTTTAACGTATTGCCTTCTGACGTTGTATAAGCTTAGGTAAACCACTCAGTTTTCCTACATAGTTGCAAATTACAGCGCCCATGACTTCTTTCCTGTAGTGTTTATGATAAAGAACTTGCGCGTGTAAACCGTACGGTATAGTACATGTGTTGTTCTGTATGCACTTACTGTGTATATTTTTCATAATGCTTATAGGTAATTATTTATTATATTTTTCAGTTACAATTTACATAACTGTTTCTCTACTGTTGGGCAATAAAGTTGTTTTGCATTTATAGTTTCAAAAACTCCTGAGACATCTCTGCAAATACATGGTTCCCACCCGGGGTGTTATTTCCGAGACGAGTCTAGGAAGTAGATCCCGGGACCGAGTCAGTGTTCTGGTGGCCGGGAAAGTTCCCCTCGCTGACGCGCACAGCAGCCGTGGCCGGGTCCCTGGGGTCTTCATGCGTCACTAGGTGTTAGCAGCTGTCAGCAGTAAGCCTTGTTGATGTGTTGATATTTACTCCACTGATTTTTTTTGTTTGCCAGAACTTGGGTTATTATTTGAAATTTTGTACACGGGTTAGAGGAATGAGATTTATTTACTTTTATTTCCCTTTTCTGTTTTCCCCAGATACTCTCTCAGTGGCGGAGGGATGTCATCCCACTGAAATCCCTTTGGCATTTGGGGTCTTGTTTTTCCTGTTTTCTTCTTCATCCTCCTTCTTTTTAAAAGTCAACGAGAGCCTTTGCCGACTCTGCCGAGGAGGCGCCAGCAAGGGGACGGTGTGACCAGGGACGCAACTGGGGACGCGGCGCGCCCCCACCGCACTGGAGCCGCACGAAGTCTCTCAGATGGGGCGGGGATGGTCAGCTCCTCCAAGTGGTTGTTTTATTTTTGTATTGTTTTTTAATTTTAACCATAGTGCACATATTCAAGGAAAGTATCTTTAAAAACAAAAACCAACCCTGAAATGTATATTTGGGATTCTGATCAGGCAACTGAAGACATGAAACCTCAGGTATCCTGCTTTACGTGGCTCGCTCCCCCCGGGGACTGAGACGCGCCCTGGCGGATGGGTGTACAGATTTGTATATAGTGTCGTTTTTACAGAACCCTCTGGCGTGCATAAGGATCACTGTGCACACACTGGCCAAGTGCTTCTGTAGATAATGTCCGTGGAGTAAATATTCGACAGGCCATAAACTTGAGTCTATTGCCTTGCCTTTTATTACATGTAAATTTTGAATTCTGTGACCAGTGATTTGGATTTTATTTTGTATTTGCAGGGTTTGCCATTAATAATAATTAATGCCCCTCTTACAGAACACTCCTATTTGTACCTCGACAAATGCAAATTTTCCTCTTGTTTGCCCTACACCCTTTTGGTACACGTAGAAGTTGATTTCCTTTTTTCATTGATGGTACTATTTCTTAGTGTTTAAATTGGATCATCTGTTGCCTCATGAAGCTTTAAATTATTACTTTAAGTTTCTCCCAGATGAAGCGCTCTCGTCTCACCTCTGTTTGGATTCGTGCCACTACCCGTCTGCGCCCGATGTCCTGTCCTCTGCACCATGATTTTCCGTTGCACCTTGTAGTGGAATCTGCATATCATCTTGCCACCTAGAAGTGTCTGGATGCTTACACGAATAAATTTTATAACACACTTATTTCTCATACTCTTCTTGACACATGACTGTAGCGGACAGGTCTGCTGTTCGTGTGTGTGGTTGTGGGTGTGTGTGTTTGTGTGGAGGGTGAGACATCTCAGAAGACTGCAGGGAAGCAGCAGATGTCAGAAGGCCGAATGTCCTGGTCAGCAACCTATGCAACTCGTGTGATTGACTGGTCACTGAGAAAGTGTGCTTGGATGTTGCTGGCTTGTAAAATTGCTGTACCTCTTGCTGGGACCCTAACAGGTGGTTTTCGTTCCCTTAAAGGGGGCCTAGATGTTGCTGGTACAGTTGGCCAGGGTGTCTGATTTCCTTCGCTTGGTGCAATGCATTGCTTGGCAAGTGAAGCAGGCCATGTCTGGGTTTCTGGGATGGGAAGGGGCTCTAGTAGCAGTTCTTGACTGTCTCACTTAGGTCTTCATAGCATTTTATAGTTTTTGATGTTCGTTGCTGTCAGCTCTTTATTAGAGTACTGGTTCTTATGGAAGAAGACAAAAGATTTTGGGAGACAAGGAAGTTATTGAGCTTTGGGAAGTAAGCTCAGCCATCTGCTGGTGGTCCTGGTCTGTATGGGACAGGGACCAAGGACAGGCCTGGCTGGAGGTGTTGGTAGGGGGTGGGACTGGCTGTTAACAAACAAAAGTCTGTGGTTTTTAAACTATTGAATGATAGTATTTTATCAGAAATGGATTTGGGTTGGATATTATTTTCTGTAAGGGGTACATCTTGGTTAATGGGAAATAGAACTGAATCACTAATTCTTGTCTGCACTCTTCCACAGCAAGAATATTACCTTGAACAGTACAATCCGAGAATATTTCATTTCGTCTTTCTGGGGTATTCTGTATCAAAGCAGTATGTGTCTCTCTATGAGGCATAACCCAAAGGCCAGTTTTGTTGTTGCAGGAGAAAGACTCACTTAGGCCGCTACAGCCCGGAGTGCACTGCTCTTGGGTTTAGAGCACCAGCGCAGGCGGCAGCTTTTCTGATTGACAGAGCTCTTCACATGTCCAGGTGGACAGTGACATGACTTCGGTATTGAAGCCAGTCTCGTTTTTCTTTTTAGTGCTCGGGATGGAACCAGGGTTTCCATCCCTAGCACAATGGAACCTGCTAGGCAGGCACTGAGCCCTGTCCCCAGCCCTCAAAACTAGTAGTAGCAGTTAGTGCTGGATGGCCTGGATCCTGAGTACACAGTGTGAGCAGTTAGTGGAGTCTCTGCAATCACTAGGCCATGGTAATGCATAGCTCCATCCCCCAGAAAAGCCACAGATGATTCTATTGCATTTCATGGGCTCTGGTGGGTGGGTGGGGGCTGTCTTAAGAGTTCAACAGTGGATCACCCCACTATCCAATCTTTCTAGGTTGCTACTTCCTATGGATGCAAAGTCAGCTGAAATGTTTCCAAGGGCATCTTTAGCCAAGCAAGTGGGCATCTGGGATTCTGCTTCTAGGCCTTGAGTATAGCAGGGGCAGATACTGGAGCTACAGCTGAAGCTGCCTGCACAGTGCAAACTGCTGTCCATCTTCAAGGTGACCTGTGGGTCCTGCAGCTGAGGATTTGCTGTCCCTCAGAAGCCGCTCATGCAGCACGGTGGGAGAGTGAATGCAGTATGGCACCGTGGTGCCGTGTGCAGTTTGGCTGTGATTTATGCCTTTGAAGTCGTCTTCTGTGTTCCAGCTGGCTGGACCCAGAGGGGTGACTTAGAATGGATGCCTTGGCCACCTAGCGGCCAGGCTTAGTCTCTTGATGGAACCAGGCGCCACCTGCCTTCCAGAACCCCTAGTCTTATTCTCTAGTTGCTCTTGTCAAGTGTGTGGTTTGGTTCTCTGTGAAGTATTTTGTACCTTTCCTTTGGCAAAACATGCTCAGTTTATAAGCATTTTTATATTTCCTTCCTTAAAAAAAAAAATGGCATCTGTATTTCTGCTACCAAATACAGTGATGGAGGCAGAGGGCACCGAAGGGCGTGCTCTTGAGCACTTGTACTCTGTTATGCAAGGGTCAATAAAGCTCTCAGAAAATGGTTCTTCTGTAATTCTGTGTTTGTGTGCGTATGTGTGTGTGTACGTGTGTGTGTCTGATGCTATCCCCTCCTACCAGGTTGCCCACGTTATTTTCACTTAATTTTCTTGAAGCTACAAGGGGTGCTGGTCACACTCGGGAACCATTCAAAAATGCTGAAATTGAGATCACCTTGTCCCCAAGCCTTCCAGAGCTTACTGACTTCTGGAGGGGAGCATTTTCCTGATACTGCACGGCCCCCTCTGGGTCCCTGGCATTTGCCCAAGTTGGAGACTTCTGAACGATCTGTAGCCTCCAGGTCCTTCCTCAGGGCAGCCAAAGGTGGGTGCTTCCTCTCACTCCTCCCTCTCCTCGCTTTCGTCTTTCTCCCTCGTCTGTCCAGGCCTCCATACCCAGCAGCATGCTAGAATGTTGTCTCCCTGGCACCATCCTTCCTCAGATGTCCTTGAGCGTCTGTCCTTTGCCATCACACCCACCCACCGAGTCCCCACTCCCGCCACACCCGATGGAAATAAAGACAAAAGGCAAGAAGGCTGCTTATTTTGCCTTAAAACTTCAGTATGCTGGATTGTGGCGTGAGGTATTTTTATTCCCTTTTGTTAGTACTGAAAACCATCTGGTACACATTGTAAGGCAAATGATTAACACATCTCAAGCTCCTCCTCTCATTGTAAATCGTGGATGACAGCCACAGCTCCAGGACACTGGTGTGTCAGGTTAAGTTGGCGTCCCCCGTTGGGGGCATAGGGTGCTGGGAGAGGACTGTGCTGAGTTGGCCGACTTGAGTTAGGGCTCAAGAACGCTAAGGGAATGATAATCAGAGGACAGGCAAAAGTTTTTCCATTTGTGGGCCCCACCGGGTTCCGGAGAAGTGTGACTGTCCCGGCGGTGCAGTGTCCTACAGTGGATACCCATGCCTGGGGGGGTGAGTATAAAAAGAGGAAAGACTTCCGTTTTGAAGACAGGCACAATAGATAACTACTAGAGAATGTGGTTTCGAACCACGGCGGCGGGAGGACGACTAGGTACCATGACTGTACAATGCTTCTGCGCCCACAAAGCTCACACAACCCCTCAACGAACAGCACAAATGGCTCCGGTCAGTGACATACAGGTTCTCATGCGTGTGAAACAGACAGCAAACACCACAGCCTAAGAGCTCCCCATGTACACACCACTCACGGTACAGCGCGACAGCCCAGGAATTGCACTGGATTTCTGCCTCTTCACAGAAAACAACCCCACTATAGTCTGTAAATAGTAATCACTTCAACATTTGGTCAACTGCCGCCAAGAAGCCGGTCTGGTGACAAGGGTGTCACTGGAGTAGGAAGCCCCTCGGCCAAATGGAGTGTGTGGCAGGTCACTTATTAGTCAAGGAAAGTGAGTCCTACGAACTTCCTATTATAAAAGTAGAAAGATTGAAAAAACCGAAATCTGAAAATGATCTCTTGTTTAAGACCGCGCCATGTGTGTTGAGAACACTGCAAAGTCCGTTTTTGAAAACAGCAGCTCACGGATGAAAGTAAAAGTCCTTTTCTAAGGAAAAGCACGCTGGCCCTGTCTTCGGGTGGATGGATGTGTGTGCCCTGCGCTCGGGGTGCGGGTGTGAGGGGAAGAATGTCATTTGGCACTCTTGAATGACGATGTCTCAATACTGGCACAGACTAAAGAGCAGCCCCAGGGGATGACGGGTGAGACCCCCAGGCCAGGAGCTGGAGGCTGCCCGTCCCAAAGACAGACTGTGGGAGAAGACGAGGTCAGGACAGGCGCCTGCAGAGGGAGACGGGAGAGTTGCTGTAAAACCGCGTTTTGTCCGGACAGGAGTGAGTTCGTCAGACACAAGGTAACTGTCTTCCAGTAAAGCAGCCACAGCTGGGCCAAGCGGCCAGGGGTCCAGCCGTCAGTACACGTGGGATTCTTTGTGACTCAGAACGTGGGCCCGAGAGGCTGAGCAGGTGGCACTTCGGATGACTTCCATCCACCTGAAACGGGAGGAAGTGTGTGACCCCCGGGCCACTATAAACCCACGTCCAGTTTTTCTTACAAGTGCACCTTATGACCCTCAGTAGCATCCTTACCAAAATGGCACACTGCGCGCTGCTGTGCGCTCAGCCACGGCAGAAGAGCTTGTAAATGAACAAGGCCTCAAGTAGAGGGCCCCTCCAGTTGTTACTGAGGGTCAGTCAGAACCAGTGGCCTGGGCACAGTCACGGTGTAAGGAGCTGGAAGTGCCAGCAGTCACGGTGAACGGGAGCAGTTCAGGGTGGTGGCTTTTGTCTGTGGGGAGACGCCTACCTACTGACCCTTTTCAGGGATACTGCAGAGAACTCGGGTGGGCTTGGAGGTTCTGTCTTACAGAAAGCCAGTGGTGCTCAACTTGGGACCAGGGGACATTTGGCAGAGTCTGGAGATACATCTGGGTGTCAGTGCTGAGGGGGTACCACTGGCTTCCAGTGGGGGCGGCCAGGGATGCAGGTACACATCATACTGTACCCAGGACCACTTCCTCAACCCCGAGGTCGCTGGTTTAGGGCTCAGTAGTACGGAGGCCGAGAGGCCCGCATTTGGCCAACCTGTCCACCTTCTTCCCAGGGCTCCTGGCATCTCCAACGACAACAGCACCCAACTTGGGTCAAGCCAGCTCTCAAGCCCCTCACTCCACATGTTCCTACCCGGGATCAGGTCTGGGAATTACAGCCTGTGGGCTCATTTTGCAAGCAGGAACTGGTATTTTGTGGGTGTCCTAGAGTTTTACACAACCATGGTCTCGTTGCACGGTATTCTCCAGGGAAGGTCCGCAGCTCATAACGGGCCCAGCACGAGGAAGGGCAGGTTACAGTCCTGTCAAACTTCCTGGCCAGGATGAGGCTGCTCCCTGACGGGTTACCTGTCTGCATTATAGCCCGAACCCTGCACTCTGGGGACAGCCGCTTTTGGGGTTTGCTCTGGGATGCCTTTCCCAGAGGCCTGGAATTCCTACTTGAAATGTGAATTTTAGGAACAGCCTCAAAGCTCTAGCTCAGACGCCGTAGCCTGACTTTGTTTCCCCCTCTGCAGCTAAATTAAGCCCTCTCTGCTTGGATCTTATGTTATGTAGGTAGATGCAGTAACAAGACCTTAAAAAAAAAATAAGGGCACAGTAAGAAGAGCTGAGCTGTCCCTTCACGCGGCCCTAAGTGCCACAGTGGTGGATGAGCTAACCACACTGGGTGGGACGGGCTGACGCCTGTCCCCAGAGACTCAGGACTCTGCTGGCCTCCAGGGTACAGCTGAGGTGTGTGCTGGTGGCAGGCAGAGGCCCCGGGTTTACTGAGCACTTGAAGCCTTGGGCAGGACAGGGAGGGCGTGTTTCTGGGGACACCGACCTTTCAAACGTGTACTCGCTCTCAGCCCTGAAGTAGTACACGTGGGACTTGAAGTGCAGCTTGAACACGTAGTCCTTGTGGATGTTCTCAGACTCCGAGGGGATGGTGAGTGAGTATCCGAGCAGAGGCAGGCTGGCGAGGGGATGATTGTCCTGCAAGGGGCACAGGGGTGACCCTGGAGAGGCAGCTTGGGGTCTGGCTGCCACCCTTCTTCCAGCAGTGGTCCCGGGAGCCCAGGCGTCTCCACCCTTGGGCTCTGGGCCTGGGAGGAAGTGGACTGTGAGCAGCTGGTCCTGGCTACTGAGTCCAGTCCGGGATGTGAGCCACTGGGTCATCTCGTTCCTGTCCAGGTGCCCTTTCAAGGCTTCCCTGTGTCGGCCTTCATGGAGAGCTGAGGTGGCCTTCCCCCGCTGGTCCAGTGCAGGACCCCGAAACACCGCTTCCTCACCCGCCACACCTGGCCGGGCTCAGCGGCGCTGGCTCAGGGAAAAGTCCTGTGGGCCTTCAAGGCCGCTGCCTGCCAGGGTCTAGGTGCTGCATGGGGACGCGGGCTTCACCACTCTGCCCCCACCCCCGGCAGGAGGTTACCTTAGGCTCCTGCCAGCCACTCACCTGGTGTGACTTGTAGAAGAACAGGCAGAAGTTTGTGAACACCACCCACAGCTTCTGCCACCCGTTGCTGTTTTTGAATTTCCTCAGCAGGTTCCCAGACAGCTGGTTCTGAAAGACAAGGGGGCCGGTCAGGAGCACAGGCGGGCTCCCGCAGCAGTGAGAGGATACAGGTCGTGGCAGGGTGGTGTCGTCTCTGGCTAGGCTCTGTGGGGCGGGCGCAGGAAGTGCCTGGTTCTAGGAACAGACTTCCTGCCACGGAGACACTTCCTGACCTAAGAACAAGAGCCCCACCGCTCCCTGGCACGAGAAGCTAATGGATCGTAAGAACTTGATGTGACTAATTCATTGTCACCTATTACAGGTTAAATTATGCCTCCCCTACTCCCATCCCCAGGAACCTCATTTGGAAGTAGGGTGGTCACAGGTATAATCAGCTAAAATGAGGTCACACTGGGGTAAGGTGGCCCTTTATCCAGTGTAAGGTCCACAGAAGAAACACCCAGGGAGGACACCATGTGACGTGGACAGAAGCTGGAATGACACATCCACAGCAACACCAAAGATTGCCATGAGACAGAGGCAAGGCAGGGCCCGAAAGGTTACAGGGGGAGCCTGGGTGGCCAACACACTGACTTTGGAGTTTGGCCTCCGGAGTAAATTTGTTGTAAGCCAACCCGTTTGTGGTCCTTTTCCTAGGAAACAATCCATTGCCCTGGACAGGGAGATCTAGTCATCTTTCACAAGCAGCTCCTGGCTGCCACCTAGTGGCCAGGGCTGGAAGCCATGCTCCCCTGCTTGGCGCTGGCCTGTGAGGCCCCTCCTTTTAATTTGCCTCTCCATTTAATGCCACAGCTCTGCAGGGGCCTGCCAGGGTGTGGAAATGTCTGGATCAGGCCAAGGCCTGGGCCAGCTGCTACGACAGATGTGTGCACAGGTAGCTCCGAGGGACACACAGAGGAAGATGTCCTCAGCAGCTTTGAAAGGACAAGAAGAGGCCTGTCCACCTCATAAACTGTTGCTCAGTCCTTTTGTCAAGTGGCATTACTGGGGGACTCTCCAAAAAGGTGGAAAGGGATGGTGGTGATGGCTGTGCAGCTTATGGAGGTGGTTAAAGCCATGGAACTGCTTGTTTAAAAATGGTTAAACGGGGCCAGATATAGTGGTGCACGCCTGTAATCTCAGCATTCAGGAGGCTGAGGCAAGAGGATCGGCGTGAGTTCAAGGTCAGCCTGGGCTACATAAGGGCATTCAAGGCCAGCCTGCACTATATAGCGAGACCCTGTCTCAAAAGCAAACAAACAAAAAAACCGACATTTTTTTAAAAAATCATAACTAAATATATCTTCAAGTCTACTCCACCCCATAACACCCACGAGCAAAGGCCTCTGATTGGCAACTGAAGTTGAAAACAGACATTTCTATCTTCCAGGCTGGCAGGGGCAGCACAAGGGAGCTGTGACTGGTGAGAGGATGTGGGCTAGGCTACGGGAGGCCGCACCTGCAGCCTGCGGAACTGCGTGGGGCCCTGTGGCCGGCTGGACAGGGCCACCATCTCCGCCCTGGCCCTGGCCCCGTACTGCTGGCAGCAAGGGTCAAGCCAAGCAAGGCTGTGGGTCTCCAGCACGGGTCGGTGTTACCCAGAGCCAGTGGATGCCTGTGTGGCACTGCCACTGCACACTGGGGCAGGGAGCCCACGCTAGAGCAGCACCGGGAGAGCCCTCTGTCCCTGGGACACCAAGCCCCCACAGAGCCGCCCCAGGCCAGCTGCAGCTCCTCCCAACTCACTCCTGCAGCTGCCTGAGGTTCTTGGTGGCACAGGGCCCTAGTCTGTCCCCCGCCCCAGCAACCCGAGTCCTCAACCCCGCGGAGCTCATGGCCCCTGCGCTCCTCGCTCTGGTCCCTCCGCCCACCCCACCTCAGCTCCAGCTACCAGTCGTTCAGGAGACACCGGGACAGACAGTTGGCACAGGACGAGAAAGGCCATGAGTCAGGAGGTGTCCCCTTATCTGTCCTTTCGGGGCTGGAGGCTCAGGGCCGGCCAGAGACGGTCACACATCTGGCATGTGAAGCTGCGCGCCTCTCACCCCGACCGAGCACTGTGCCTGGGAAGGGGCTTTCCGGCAAGAAAGGGATGCGTGCAGGTGACAGGCCAGCCACGTCCGCAAGTTCGTAACCCTCAACCCATCTGCAGCCTCCAAGCCTTCAGGTTTGCTACGGAGGATTGGGAGTCGGAACGCGAGGCTCTGCAGGCCGAGGCAACAGGAAGACATCCTAGGATGACCATTCCTGGGTGTGAAATCCCCTGGGGCTCACAGCTGGGCATGGGGTGGCCATGGCCTGGGGCCAGCCTGCTCACCCGCGAGAAGACAAGGGGATTGCAGGTGTGCAGACGGCTACCCAAAGCGCGGACCGGAAGAGGAAGAGGTCCCCCGGGGCCCTGACTGCAGTGTCTACTGCATATTCAGGGACCAGGCCTCCAGGGATTCAAAGAGGCTGGCCACCCCCAGCAGTCCCCTGCCTTGAAAGTGACCAGTCACACTGAGACAGAAGTAGGGCCACGATGGTCTCCCTCCCGCAACAGAGCACTTCCACCCACAGCCTGGGTCCGCTAAGTGCCCCAAATGAGCCAGCCTGCGGAGCTTCCCTGCGCCCCCAGGAGCAGGTCCCTAGGCCTGCAGCCAGCCCTGCGCATACCCAGAAAGGGGAAACCGGAAGCAGAAGGGCGAACTGGAAGCGGAAGGGGAGCTACCGCGTCAGCACACGCGCACTGGTGCGAAGGCCACGTGACCTGGGTGTGCGGAGCTCGGCAAGGCGGGGCGAGGCGAAGCGGGGCGAAGGGGGCGTCTGGCTGGGAAGAAAGCTGGGGGCGCCAGGGTCTCATGGCCTCAGAACCGTGAAACGCGTGGCAGGTCTGCACAAGAGTGAGGGTCGCTTCCAGAGCTCAGTCCGGAGACTCCCAGAGAGCTCGGGCAGCGCCGACACACCTCGGGATCAGAGGGCCAGCCGGCCGTCCTCGGCCAGTCCCTCGGGTCCCCTGCGTGGCCCAGAACATTCTGGAAAGTGAGTCGAGCCTTTCCCGCGGGGGACGCCGCCAGGGAAGCAGCGCGCTGTCGGTCGGACACACAGGAGCCGGCAGTCCCGAGCGGCCCACCCGAGGACTAGGGCTGGCGCTGGCGGGGCCAGCAAGATGGAAAGGCTCTCGGAGTGGGATTCGCGCTGCCCGGCGGCGGGCGTCCTGCCGCGATCCTGGGGGAGGCCACCTGGAGTTCCCTGCCCTGTGAAGCCGCTCAGGCTGCAGGCTTCAGCGCCTGCCGCCCCGCAAGCCCAGTCCCCCCCTGATTAGGTGCCCGCCTGGCACAGGGCGCCGCCGCCACACCTAACTTATGGCACGGGACTAGAGAGAGCGGTGGGCACGGAGCTGCCCCACGGACGCCGGCGCTGCACTGCATTAACAGGAGGGCGACGCCCACCCTGCTCCCCCAGCGGGGTACCCCCGCGCCTGAGCCACAGGGGCCGAGGCCGGCACGGACCGGGCCGGCAGGCCCAAGGGCAGGAAGATCGCTGCCGCCACCCGAGCCCCCGCAGGTACCTCCACGGCGATGCTGAAGTCCACCATGGAGACGCTGGTGCTGCGGTGCCAGCACACGTGCACCATCGTGTTGCCGCGGTGAGGGCTCTGGCGCTCCAGCGAGGTGCGGGAGGCGCTCAGGTCGTCCTCCGACTCTTGGTCCGCTGCCGTGGCTTCGTCGGGAGACTCTGTGGGAGGTGGCAAGAGGTAGCCCTAATGACCGCTCTGCGGCAGGAGAAGCTTTTTCTGTTGAAGGCGATCCTCCTGCCTCAGCCTCTCTAGGGCCAGGTGTAAGAAAGCCTTCCCCGACAAGGAAAGGAACCCAGTGTGGGGCTGCTTTGTGGTCTTAAACACGAATGTAGATCTGGATAAGAGGCCCACCCCCTGAAGGGGTTTTAAACAGTAAGATGCCACTCAGCCTGGGTGAGCCCTTGCTGTGGGTTGGGCCACTCACTGTTGTCAGGGGGGCTGCTGGCGAGGACCTCAGCCGTGGGGCCGCTGCTCTTCTCAGCCAGGTCGATGGCCATCTTTATGTCCTCCACCCATTTCTCCATCTCGGCCCGAGAGCTGGAGACAGACACAGGCGTCAGCTTTCAGACCCCGGCAGGTCCAAGCTGACAGGTAAGTTGGTCCTGGGGTTACCTGGCGGCCACGACGATGGACTGCCGCTGGCCCCGCAGGGTCAGGCAGTGGGGGACCCCCCACTCATCCTCGCTGTCCTGGATCTGGGGACAAGAGTGCAGCACATTACTGGGGTGCAGAGGCACGACACTTTCAGATGCTCCCGGAACGGCACCCGGGCCACTCCGAGGGCAGAAAACGGAGCAGAGTGACAGGAGGGGACTCCCAGAGGGAGACACGGAAACCGGAACGGCTGAGAGGAAGCGGGGCACACTGCGTTTTCTTTTGCACAGAGTCTACAACTTCGCTCTGGACCCTGAGCAGTTGGCATCAGCCAGGGCCGTCATCCTGCCGCCTGGGACACAGCACGGGCTCCACTGTTCCTTGTGTGTGGGCATCCTCTGGGCCCCTGCGACCAGCCACTGGGCTGGGAGAGGCACTGTCACACGGCTCGGTGCAGGTCACCTTGCTTCCGACTTGATTTTACAAGGGACCTACGACGGCATCCATGTCCCCAGGGTCCCAGCGGGAGAGCCTTGGAAGGTCAGCGGTCCCCCCAAGCTGATGCCTGTCCCACGCACGCTTCCTGCCCCCGCTCAGCCCACTCACCGTCATGCCGTAGAGCGGGAGCTGCCCGTGCACTTTAAACTGATTGGAGGCCGTCAGCCCTCGGCTGGTATACAGCAGGACATCGTTGAACTAAGGGACGAGCAGAGGCGTGGGTGAGACCAACATGTGCTCCCAATCTCCCACTGCGCCTGAGCACCGGGGCTGCCCCGCGCCCCACCAGCCAGGCCCCGCTCGGTGGCTGAGGCCCACCCTCGACTCCTGTGAGTGCAGACAGCTCTGGCCACTTACCAGGAAGAACATGCGCTGCTGGAGCCCCTTCCCCGAGAGCTTGCTGAGGCTGCCGAGGCGGATGAACTCCTGTGGGCGGAGAGGTGAGTTTGCTGAGCGCCTCATACCTGCCCTGTCCTGTGCTGGTGACAGCCGCAGTGTCTGTCTGTTGTGTGCTTACTGCAGCCCAGGCGCCAGGCATCATCTGCCTTCCCAGGAGCCCTGTCGGCTCCACCGACAGGAGAGGTGACTGAGGCTCGGGTTAGTGGGACGCCGGCCTAGCCCTGTGCTGGGAGCCTGGTGTACCCTTGGCCCTGGGTGAGGATGACGCGCCCACGCCCCAGGGTCACACCCTCCCCCCGCAGTGCCAGCCAGGCCCCGGAAGATGGCATGCTGCTGGTGGAGGGATCTTCCCCGTGATCCACAGCTGGCCCTCAGAAACCAGTAATGGGTTTCAGGGTAAACGCCAGAGGCAGGTGAGTGTGAAAACCTTGGCTCCCCAAGTCTCACTTTCCCCTGGACTCCACATTCCTGACCGTATGCATGTCATGGGGGCAGGTGCTTCAAAAACCAACGAGCAACTTTCGCCCTTCTGGGAGGAGATGGTGTCTTACTATGTTGCCCAGGCTGGCCTGAACTCCTGGGTTCAAGTGATCCTCCTGCCTCAGCCTGCTGAGTAGGCCTGCAGGTGCATTCTAGCACTTCCAGCTGACAGTCACTTTAAATCGGAGTTAAATACACCAATTCGTGCGTTTGGCGTGCTCACAGTGGCTGCCGACGCCTCCCGTTTGGAGCTGAGTGGAAGCAGGGGGCTTGGTGAGGCGGGCACCCAACTCCAGCTTCACCGCCGTCAGTAACGACCCCTTTTGCTGAGCACGAGGTGCCTATCTATCACGCCCCGGGCTTATCTTGGCTCCAAACTCAAGCCTGAAGTTCAGTAGCACTAAGACCACACGGGAGCCTGGGGTGACAGAGGCTTAGGACGCCTGACTGTGGCACGGGGTGACGTCACAGTAACACCACCCTGAGCACACACGTGGTCCCTTCCATGAGGAGGACGCCACACGCTGTGGCGTTTCACAGAATCTTCCTTCATCCTACTGATCTCCAAGAGAGAGGGACTGAACCCACAGCCGCCTGCTCCCATCAGCTGTTCTGCACATCACTCAAGAAACCATTTCCTCCAAATAAATTCTACACAAATCTTTTTTTTTTTTTTGAGACAGGGTCTTGCTATGAGTTCAGGCTGATCTTGAGCTCACTTTGTAGCCCAGGCTGGCCTCAAACTCGCAACAATCCTCCTGCCTCAGCCTCCCGAGTGCTGGGATTACAGGCGTGTGCCACCATGCCCAGCGAAGTTTTAAATAGCCAACACCTGTTTTTTTATTTTTGGTACCAGGAATCGAACTCATGACCTCAAGCTTGCCAGGCAAGTGCTTATGCCACTGAACTACATCCCCCGCACAAATCTTTAAAGATGAGAAAAAATGACATCAGTCCCCCTGGTCTCCGCTGACTTCTCCCCGCACTCATCCCAGTCTCCCTCAGTGCTCTGCAGTCTCCTTTGAGAAACAGCTGATGCGCAGGCCCTGAGAGAGTGGGTCTAAAGATTCCGGGGCAGCTGCGTGTTCCATAGGATGAAAAGGCCCCCAAATCCTGGGTCCCCTGCTGCAAGTTACAGCAGGCACCCCGCAGCCCGGTGGCTTGCGTCTCAGCAGAGCCTTGGTGGGGCAGGGCTTGGAGTAAGACAGCTTGGGACGGAGACCTCACAGAGAGCCTGGATGGGACAGGGCCTCGGATTAACCGCTGGGTTCCTCGGAAGGGAACCAGGGGACAGCTGGCTTCCCCTCCTGCTTTCTGTCCTCTGTGCTGGGATGGAAGCTCCGGCCACAGCGAGTGACCTCTCCCTCAACTGTTTGAGATTATTTTGATTTTGGATTAAAATTGTTATGCATAAATGGCATCATTAAAACTTCTTTCATACTTTCATACACTAACCGCATCTCTGGCTTTATATCGTGTGTGTGTGTGTGTGTGTGTGTGTGTGTATGTGTCTGTGTGTGCGTGTTACTGGGACTGAACTCAGGGCCTTCGTGCTGAACTACATCCCCGGCCCTTCTGTGAGACAGAGCTCACTAAGTTGCCCAGGCTGGACTAACCCTAACTTGTGATCCTCCTGCCTCTGCCCGCCAGAGGGCTGGGATTACAGCTGTGTGTCACCACCTCCAGATTTTATGTCAGCATTTTATCATTTGTTCTCTCTTCCATTTTCATGTATCAGAATTGTTTAAACTCTGCCCTTTGAAATCCTCCCTGGGATGTGGTAGGGGGGGAAGTAAATAAATCAGTAAGGAGCGGGAATGGTGTAAGAGGCCTGATGGTGGTTCTCCGTCCTCTCGATGTGCAGAGTTTGCATCGCTTTGTCCCGTTTTCCCAGGGACCTGCTTTCTCCTGGGAGTCTCCACAGGCAAAATGGCCACTTTTACTCCCCGCACCATGCCCACGCTGGCCTTCCGCCCAGCCCACTCTTACCCTTCCAGGAGTCACGAGATTGTCGACGCCAATGAGATCTTTCTTGAGCTCGTGCAGCTTCTGGCAGTTCTCCATCTTGATCATGGTGCCGTGCAGCTGCGCCACCATCTCCGTGATCTCTGCCAGCGCGGCTGTAGGGGAAACAGGAGCGCTGCGGGTTGGTGGCAGAGGAGGGCCTTGTCCCCACAGCCTTCAGCCCCCGCTCTGCAGGCTCCCTCCAGGAAGACACTTCTGTTGCTGCATAATAAACGGACTCGCCTGATGTACTGATCCGATTCACTTTGGTCTCCCCGGAATATGCTGTGGCGACGACCCCAGCTGCACTGCTGTCCCCAAATCAGAGTGACTTGTGGGCATCCCAGAAATAAAGGGGCCCTGAATTTTGTCCCAGGGTATGGATTTTCCTCCCTGTCCTCTTCCCTGGAGTGGGCTGGACACAGGGAGGGCAAAGAAGCCACAGAAAAGGCTGCAGCAGTCTGCGCGGACCTGAGGGTCGAATTGATACCGGGACGCTCCGGGGCCACTAGCATTCCAACGCACCCTGTTCTTCCCTTTCTGGAAATCAAGCTGTTTACCAAAATGGCTGCAAGAAGAAACTGCACGATTCAACTTTGCCTTCCAGTGCAGGCAACATCTGCCCGACATTGGTAGGCATGCAGCGCGCCGAAGGAGCCAGCAAATGCCAATTACTACAAACTAGGGTGGCACACGAATCCCCAGGGTCGGGGCAAAGGAAAAACACCAAACACCTGCCCCGGCCTTGTCTTCAGAACACTATGTCCCTCCTTTCTGCACCCTAGTTTTGGAAAGACAGCATTTTTATCTTTCTTGCTTTCCGCCTGGGGTGAAAATTAAGTGCTTCCTGGCTTATCACAGAATGCTTTTGTCCATTTAATCATCGAGGACACACCATTCCCACCAGGGACTGTAGAAAAATAAAACACATTGGCCAAGAAGGCAGAGGATCACTAAGGGGGGCACGTGCAATCCTGAACCCCACCTCGTGGGCGATTATCTGCGGGGTCCTCCCAGCTCGGGAGGGATTTCAGGCATCCCATATCCGGCCAGTACTGTGGGATGAGGTGGGCGAGGCTGGCTCAGATTCGAGGGTCAGGCACAGGCCGAGGCTTATAGGATGAGGAGGAATTTGCTGGACAACCAGCGTGCTGGCAATGACCCCAAGCAGCAGGCATAAAACGTATTCAGCTGTGGAGGTGAGAGGCAGCGTGGCTTGTTTTAAGCACTAAACTCATGACGGAACGAGGCATTTCTGTTCCTTCTTGACTTGCCACTGTCTTCATTTACTTTGCCAAGTCTGTTGGGTTGTCTTTTAAAAAACTACTTGTGGAAGTCATCTGTGTATCCTATGTACTGATAGTGATTTTTCTAGAGCAAGCCTGATGTCATCATGACCCTCCTTCAACTCCTTCCTGGCTTCCTTTGGCTCTTAGGTCAGGTCCTGAGGGGTTTATAAGATAGGGAAGCCTTTAGACATTAGCCTGAGGAGGGAGGGGTCACTCGGGTTTGAGGTGCAGGAGATGTATCTAGAAGAAGCCACAGTGACCTAAGAGACAGGAGGAGTTTCTAACACTCAGGCCAGAGATGGGGCCTTGACCCACGAGAGGACAGGCAAATCCATGCACTGTTCCGAGAGCCACCTCCAAAGCACAAGGAGCCCCAGCCCTTGAGGGGCTTGGGGCAAAGACAGGGAGCCCAGACTCCAACAGACCACAGGTAACATGGGATAGGGATGACTAGAGTTCAGTGGGAAGAGCACCTCTGAGTGACACTTGCTGGTCCCTCCTCCTCTGGGCCTCAGTTCCCTTATCTGTAAAATGGGGTAACAGTGCAGATCTCGTGGCATCGCTACTCCCCCTGTCCTAAACCACCCAGGCTCAAAGGAGGGATGAACGCAAACGAGGAGGGGTGGGGCGGCCATCAGCATCTGTCTATGGGGAGATCAAACATAATGGCACATCAGATGATAAAAAGTGGGGCACGGCACCCGCAGATCGCCCCGCAGTGGGCCCTGGGCATGCGCGCTCCCGGCCTGCAGGCGGAGCTCACCTCTGCAGTCCCTGAAGTCGGCGTGGCTCGGCGGGTGGTACTTGCACAGCCGCTCCAGGACCTGCTTGTAGTGCATGAGGCGGTGCAGCGGGCGCAGGAGGAAGGTGTTGAGCGGCAGGTAGCACACCTTCTGCTGCTCGAAGTCTCGGCAGAAGTGCTCCAGCCGCCGGGAGCCCTTGATGGTGTTCTCCAGCGCCTCCAGAGCCTCGCTGTGCTTCCACAGGTGCGTGGCCAGGTGCTGGGGGCGGGCGGGACGGGAGGGGCCCTGATCAGTCTGCCCCCTCTGACTTAGGAAATGAAGGGCGTCTTCACCCTCATTTCATGATGTGTTTAATTTCCTTACGCTTCACATTTTTCATATCCCTCTACTCCTTTCATCACGTCAGTTAGGTTCTGTGCATGAACTAAAAAGCTCGAGTTCGAGCAGCTTAAAGGACGTGCATTATAAAATACGGGAACCAAATAAATGACACTGGAGGCGTAAATGCCCTTTGCAACGAGCCTGACAAAACTAAGGGGCGTTATGCGGACAGAGCTTCCTAAGGGGGGCCTGCGGCTTTCTTCTAAATATGACGCCTTGACCCGAGACGTCAAAAAACATCAAGTCATTCCAAAAATGCATTTGTTTTGCTCACCCCATTCATTCATAAAATGACTGAGTGGCTACGGGTGCCCGGATGCTGTGCACCTCAGGAGGTGAGCGGGGATTAGGTGGGGTCCCTGCTCCCCTGGCACCGTGCTGGCGGCAGATTCAGGGCTCAGCCTTTGGTGGTAGAGCACTGAGGTGCAGTCTGTCCCCCTGGGCAGTGGGGAGGACACAGAGGGAAGGACACTTCCAGACAGGCACGGGAGAGGGGGCAGAGGACGCCAGTGCCCCCTGCTCAGGCCCCCACCCTGTCCTTTGGGGTTCATCCCAGCCTCTCCTTGATGCTCGCCCCTCTACCCTCCTGCCGGTCACACTACCCCTGCCCACGTCAGTGCCCATCACTGGTTTATTTACAAACCTTCTGTTTTGCAACAGAGTCACCAGAAGTTGCAGGGAAACACACAGAGAGGCACTGTGAACCCGTCCCTTCGCTGGTGCATAGCTACAGTACTTTCTTGTTGCTCTTGTGCGCAGGATGGAACCCAGGGGTTCACACATGCCATGCAAGTGCTCTACCACTGAGCTACATCCCTAGCCCTTTAAAATTCTTTTCCTTTTATTTTGAGACAGAGTCTCACTAAATTGCTCAGGCGATCCTCCTGCCTAAGCAGCCTGAGTAGCCAGGATTACATGCAGGTGTTGCCAAGCTCAGGCCTCCAACTGATTTGGAATGAGGGCATTGGTCACACATCTGAGGGGCCTGGTGCATGTAGTAGATGCCCAGTTAATTCTTGCCTGCATGAATTAATGAGCAAAAGAAGCAAGGCCAGCACCAAGCCAAGGCAGGAGTGTGGAGGACAACATGGCAGGTGGGGAGAAGCCTGGAAAGATCGCCTGAGGCCAAATTGGAGTCTGACCTCTCGAGGGCTACAGGTTGCACTGCACTCTCCGACCACTGAGGAACAAGGATGATGTGGGGGCCGGGCAGCCCAGCAGAAGGCAGCCCAGTCATCCAGTGGACAAACCGTGGGCCAGGAGGATAAACCCAGTGCTCAGGGGCACAGGGCTGGGGTCGGGGCTGGGCAGACAGCAGTGGGGAAGCAGCAGCTTGTGTCGGTCCCAGTGCTCTCGTGCATCCGGGCTGATGTTTGAAGGGGACATTCCTGGCGTGGGCTGGAGATCACGATCCGGGTGTGCCTGACTGTGGGGGAGTCCCAGGCCCAGCTCCCTTGGCCATGTCACCAAGGGGGACCACGGGGGCCACAGGCGTTGGACAGAGCACAAGCACGAGCACGTGTGACAGCTGCGATCTAAATATGCTCCCCATGAGCAGAGTCAGGGACAGTCAGGCAGAGGCCGATGGCACTGGGCCCTGCTTAGCACCTGCAAATGCAAGTGAGTACACGGGGCCGGCAGGAGAGACGCTGGAAGCCGATGTCCCCCGAGCATTTAAACGCAACGCCGAGCTGGGCGTCTACCTCTCTAGAGCCTTCTGCCGCTCCCCTCCTGCCACTCTTTAAAACCAACAATAACACACAAAAAACAAGCCAACTCATTTCTCCGAAGGCTGCCACCACCCGCCCCCCCAGTCTATTTTTATTTTGCTTGCACAGAGCTCGCGGCAGCGGCGGCACAGCGCTGAGATGCCAGCACAGCTGAGAGCGGACGGCCACATGCACAGCTCAAGGACCAAGGGGCAGGGGCCAGCGCGGAAGGCAGGTGTAATTTCAGTTTTTTTCCTGCTGGTTAGTGGAGAGGAGGGTGGGTGTCGGTTCTCCGTAGGAAAGCAGAGGTGGGCAAACAGCCCTGGAGGGCCGGTGCACAACGGGATGCCGGGGACTGTCCCTGCGGCGGAGGAAGCCAGGCTGCCAAGGCCGCCATGGGCGGGGACCCCAACCACAGGACCCCTGCGGAAGGTAAATCCACGGGGATGGTAAGTGAGGAGTGTGTGTGGCGGGTGTGACCAGGTGACATGCTGGGGGATTGAGGGTAGTGAAACTAAACTCTCTACAACCGTACGGCACCAAGACTTAATGCCAACGGTGGACTCCAGTCAGTGATAGCAATTTCCACCCAGTGCAAAATGTTTGAGGTAGTGGCATCTGTGTGGTCCAGGTGGGGATAGGTGTGGGAACTCTTCTTTCTGCTTATTTTTCTATACTGTAAACCTAAAACTGCTCTAAACATAAAATTAAGGTCAGAAACTCCACGGAGAGCTGCAAAGATTGGCTACAGATTGCATTTTCAGTTACTCCTAACACATATGACTGAGACATGAGGTTCATTCATCAACCTCAGCTTATTACACTGCAAAGACTGTCGCGGCGGGTGTCTCAGCTCTCCTTATTTTGCATAGGATTCTGCAAATTTTTTCCATGGCTTCTCTCAACGTTGCCCCACGCTGCAGCATGTCACCCCTGAATATGGTGGGGAAGTGAATAATAATTAGGGCCTGGTAAGCCCGGTCTTGATCTCTGATGAGAGAAACAGATTAACAGCAGGGGCTGGGAGTGCAGCCCAGTGGTAGAGCGCTTGCCATGTGCAAGGTGCTGGGGTCGATCCCACACCACAAGAAGCAGAACGTACGGGTGGACTGAGGCTGGCTGGGCTGCTATGGTGGCCGCGTGGCTACCAGCCTTCTTAGGGGCCAGTACTTCCTCAGGGTCGTTACTAGTGACTAAGGTTTAGGCAGCTGAGATACAGGAACACTGCTTTAAAATGCTAACGGAGATATAGTCAGAAGATAAGCTATGTGAATGTGAACACACCCTACATTAAAGGAATTAGTAACCAGCTGCACTGAAAATGAAAAAGTTCCAATTTCAGATACAAGATGTGAAGTACATTTCAAAAATGTAGTAAAGTGTGTGTAATAGTTACTGCCTTCTTTGGTATATTCTCATGCAGATACTCTGGGTGGCTTAAAATGTATTTGCCTTGTACATTCATTTCAAGTCATAGAATTTACTGAAATCCCTACAGAGCGCAGCATTCAACAGTCTGAATGCCTTCCTGCTTAGAGGAAGGCAGAACAACTGACTGACAATGAAATGGGCAGCCAACCAAACAATGTTTTGTCATACAGTTCTTGTTTGTTTGTTTGTTTTTCTTCCTACCAGGAATCGAACTCATGACCTTGCGCTTGCCAGGCAGGCGCTTTTGCCGCTGAGCTAAATCCCCAGCCCCACTGTCTAACATCATTAAAAAAAGTTGGAATGATCCGTGGCCTCCTGCTGGGTCGCGTCGGGTGCAGATCCAGCAACGTGAGCAGCCCTAGCCTTGCCGTCAGCAGGACCTCAGCCGCCCGACCCCACCAGCTCACCTTCATGCCCTGGATGTTCTTGAGCATGACGTCGCCGATTCTTTGGTAATCTCCTCTGATGTGGGCGTTTGAGCGGCCTTCCCTGAGAGCAAAGGCCAAAGTTAGCAAGGAAAACAGCAACAGGACGCGCCTGGGCCTTAGATCCCAGAATACCCACGGGACACCTTCCTCTCCTCGCACTGTTTGTACCCCTCCCTGGGCGCCTCCTCTGTGTTGCTGGGAGTCACAGTTTATTAGCAGTGGAGGGAGACGTGGACATTACCCCTTGTGGCTGCAGACAAAGAATTCCATGAGTACTTTGAAGCAGACGGGGCCCGGCCTGCAGGGCTGGTTTCTGAACCCTTCGGTTGTGTCTTACATTAATTTTCTTTCATCCACACTTGGGTGACTCTTAGCATCGTGAGCTGGCATGAAGACCACTCATAGTAACCGGCTCAGGAAATGGGTCCTGCGCTTGGTGGGTACTCACAGGCCCTCAAATCAAGCTTTCTGCTCCCGAGAGCTCTTAGACTGAAGCAGAGAACCGTCTAGAAAGCCCTTGGTGGTGGAGCAAATGACAGAGGGTGGGATGCAGGCCACGGGTGGGGTGGGAGGAGGCAGAGCTGCGTGCACCGCTGGCTGAGTAGCTGGGATCACGCTCTGCCCGCTACAGCTCAGGGCTTTGGCTGATGTTGACGATGCAGCGGGGTAAGCAGCAGAGAGACGAGAGACCAGTGCTGGTTGTGTTTGCTACTTCCGTGTGCGCGGACAGCGTGCTGAGCACGTCATAGGCACCGACTCATTTACTCCTCGAGCAGCCTAGGTACCTTTTACAGCTAGGGAAACCGAGGCACAAAGCCTTGTCCAGTGTGTGACCCTGAGGCAGCGTGCCTCTCCTCACACCCTGGCGGTCTGTTTTCTGAGTCTGTTGCCACTGCCAGCGGCCCGTGCACATCTAATTCACCCAGAGATGGGAAGAGAATTTCCCAGATTTAAACATGCATCAGTGCAGCTCACATCTCCACATCCATGCTCAGGGTCGTCAGAGGCTCAGGTGCCAGAAAGTGATGAACTAAACAGGAGCTGCAGCACGGCGGCGTGAGCCTGTAATCCCAGGACTCTGGGAGGCCGAGGCAGGAGGATGGCAAATTCGAGCCCAGCTCAAGCAATTTGGTGACTTAGCGAGACCCCGTCTCAAAATAAAAAATTAAAAGGGCTGAGCATATAGCTCAGCGTGAAGGCTCTGGGTTCAACCCCCAATATAAACAAACAGTGGTGAAAAAGAGGGGGATCCGTGGTTTAGACCCACAGATGTGGGCGCTAACAGCCTCCAGCAACCAAGATGGGTTCCCTGGGGAGCAGAGTGCCAGGCTCCTTCCCCACCTCTGCCTCCAAATGGGCCACCTCTTTCCTCTGCCCTGGCTTCGCAGGCCAGACTGGACGGGACTGGATTGGCCAACCAGGGGCGAGTTTGTTCTTTGCTTCCCATGAGGTATCAAGCACAGAGCATATCACAGGGGGACAGAGGCCTACACCATTAAGGTAACGGGGGTTCCTCTGGAAGCAGAGAGAAGAGAAGGAGCCCATGAGGATGCCCACCCTTCCTGGGCATTCTAGCTCCTCTGTGTGCCGTCTTTCTTTTTTAATTTTAGGGGAAGGAGTTGAGACAAGGTCTTGCTATGTAGTCCAGACTGGCCTCGAACTCAGGGTGATACTACTGCCTCAGCCTCCTAAGTGCTGGGATTACAGGCATATACCACACCCGGCTTTCGTGGTGCCCATTCGATTATCTTCCCTGCACCTAGAATTCCTCCATCCTTGCTGCCTCTGGGCTGCTCTCACCCTCTCTAAACTCATGGGTTTTAGCAGGTGTGGTGGTGCACACCTGTAGTCCCAGCACTCCAGAGGCTGAGGCAGGAGCATCTCTGCGAGTTCAGGCCAGCCAGGCTACATAGTGAGTTCACAGCCACTCTGAAATACATAGCAAGACTCTACCTCAAAACAAAAACAACAACAACAAAAAAACACCTTTTTCTCTGGTCAACTTTTCTCTCCAGGTCAGCTCTTCGGGAGGCCTGTGACCTCTGGGATCCCACTGGAGGTCACCCTCCCTTCAGCTCTCTTCTGTCCCATGAAATCCTTCCCAAGGGGCAGCCCCCGTTTCTGATGCCACACCTGTACCCAAATGCTCTCCATCACAACCGGCCTGGCGCTGTGTCCCCAGGCCTTCCGGAAGGACCACTCGAAAGACCCCACAAGCGCATCAGACAGAGGCGGCCGAGGCTGGGCTCTAGTTCCCTATCCCAAGCCTCTTCCGGAGCTTTTCCTTAAGGGTGTAGCAGTCTACCGTGAGCTCAAATCCTGCCCTCTTCCACTTATCCTCCGGCCTCATTCCCAGCACGTGGATCAAATTCTCCCCAGAAACTGGGCCCCCGGGGATCCGCCCGGCCGTGAGGTGGACCCAGGCCCACTTTGGAGACAGCTGCAGCTTGGTGCCGAGCCCTGCAGCCTGCGGCCCGAGGCTTCTCGAGAGTCCGAGTTAGTCACTGAGCACCGCGGAGCGGTTTTCCGTTTGGCCGTTTTGCCGGTCCCTCCCGGGAACCAGGCTGCCTGGTAACTTCCCGGTGGCTCTTCTCAGGGGACACTTGGCGCGGGAAGGAAGCCCGGGCCAAGGGTGCCTTCTGCTCTCTAGAAGGGGCTTCCTCTCCTCGCCGCCCTCTGCGTCCCAAAAAAGCCGATCTTCCCTTCAAAGGATGACCCAGCACCCAGGCCAGAGGGACCAGATGTTACTCAACGCCACACGTCAGGGAGGAGCCGAGGGACAGCTCCCGCGGGCTTGGGGGCACAGAGCCAGTTCCCGGGCTTCAGAGCTGACAGGCGCTGCCACACGGGTGCGCCACCTGCCGGGGCTGAGCGGAGGTCGTCTGCGCAGAGGACGCAAGTTAGCTGCTGCAACTGAATGAGAGCGGGTGACAGCGGCGAGCGGCAGAGGCTTTGGCTTCGTCCCTCCCGCCGCCACACCCGCCGAAGCGCAGGAGTGCGGGAGAGAGGGCAGGGTGGAGGCCGGACTTTTTGCCACCGCCTCTGTTCTTGCGCCAGCCACTTACGAAAAGAAAATGCACTGGTGCCGGGCTTGGTGGCGCACGCCTGGGGTCCCAGCACTCTTGGAAGCCACAGCGGAGGATGGAAAGTTCAAGGCCAGCCTGGGCAATCTGGTGACTCAGTGAGACCATGGGTCAAAATAAAAACTAACAAAAGGGTGAGAAGGATCAGCTCCGGGCCGGGCCGGGCCGCGGAAGTGTCTGCAGATGGACAGCAACTGTGCGCAGTCTCGCTCACACAGCAAGCCTCAGCCCCGCGGGGTCCAACCCAGGACACAGTCATGGGACCCCGTAACACTTCCCTGCTGCCCGCGACAGATCGGCAAATCCGGGCGTTTCTGAACGAAGACCCAGCTAAAAGGCCGTTTTGTGAGGCGGAGCATGATCCCGATGTTAACCCCAGGGGAAAGCTCCTGGGGAAGGCGGGCCACCATTTGCTGTCCGGTCAATGGCCACGACGCAGGAAGATGCAAATTCTTTTGACAGCTTCCCTCAGGAACACCACGGAGATCTACCGGAAACCGCCTGGCGGGCTACATTGTGATCCATGCAGTGTGACTAATTTACTCCAGGAGCCATTCCACGGGCCCACGGCAGAGGGTGGAACACAGGTACACACACACACACACACACACACACACACACACACACACAGGGCAGTTTCCAGTCTCTCTGCTGTTGCTCAAACACTTGGCTCCTCACAGGGTGAGCCGCTTAGCCCTGACTGGCAGGCTGACCGAGGAGGAGGAGGACGAAAAGAACACGGAGTGACCCTTTGGCCGTGGGTGCATCTGACCCACAGCGGGGCTGTCGGGGAGGGTGGAGTTGGAGTCCACGCCCCAGCAGCCCTCAGGGAGGCCGGAGGCCTGGTTAGCGACAACTGAGAACCACGTCCACAGTTCGCAGGGACAGGGGCCCAGCCAGCCAGGATAAACCAACACTTTGCCCGCTTGCTTTTGTCCTCAAATGCAGGTCAACACCAAGTTCATCCAGATGACCCTGTGACAAAAAAACTCTCCCCTCTCCCATAAGTGTGCCGAGCCCCACAAGGTGGTCTCTGCCAGGGCAGCTGTGGGGTCCAGCCCAAGAAGAGGCCTCTCCAGAGAAAGCTTGCAGGGACACACACAGGGCTTCCTGAGTCTCCTGACTCAAGTGTGTCCACCAAATACCCGGCCATCCCCTTTGCTGCAACAAAAGGAAGAATCATCCCATTTCATTCAAACAAAGCACGCAGCTCAGGGCTCGAGGGCCGCCTTTCCCACCAGCTCCGCAGCCCCAGGTCCGATACCCTCTGACCCTCCAGAATAGACCTCTGAGTTCCCATCTGCAAAGCAGACATCACATCCTGTCTCCCACTGTGCCCTGCACTCTGTGATACTAAATGAAAAAGAGAAAAGAAGACAGATGGAATCACGTATATGTGTGTGTCTGTGTAAGCAAAAGGAGCCCATGTAAAGGAGCAGATGGCTAAAGACAAACCTTACACTAACACAAGGGTGGTGGGCTCAAAAATCAATTTAGCCCAGAAGATAACATATGGGCCACAGGTAAAAAATGTGGACTTCAGTGTCCTTGTGGATTTTAGTGTTGCCTGAAATCTGAGGAGAGGACAACGCCATTCATTTGAATTTGGGTTCCCATCTCCACTCATGCAGAACTGAGGGTCCCTCTGGGCCTGGCCTTGGGCTCTTTCTTGCCAGCACAGCGCAAGGAAGCCTCATGCTCCTGGACACTCTTGGGGCCGACAATGCCACTCTTAGGCTGCGTAAGCTGTCATGTCCCTCCTTCTGCGGCTGAACGCCCGGTCGGCTTGATAAGAGGAGGCAACAGGATGGCCCAGTCCCGGCAGGCCTGACAGCATCCAGACGAAGCCCAGTCCTAGCCAGCCCCAACCTCAGGCTAACAGCATAGGCATTAATGCAGCCGGAGAGAAGAGCCACGTCACACTGCCAGGGACCCGGTGCATCTCCCTCTCTCTCTCTGGCAGAGAACCCCCCCGCAA